TTAGAAGCTAGCTTGGCTGATTCATTAGAGGCATTGGCTCTCCAATATCTTCCTCCTGTGTTGGGCGTAACAAGGCGTCGAGGAGGTGACATTGCGTTCTAAAGTTGCACGACGTTTGAGGGCATTCATCAAATGATATGTTCACGGGTGATAGAACATTCCAGCATATTGAAATTTGGCGCTTATACGATGGCTCGACGGGCGTGGCATGGATGAAAGACTTATAGCTGAGATGCGCGAAGATCCGTTCAACAGACACCGAAGCTCGAATTTTGGCTCGAACTGGGGTGACACCCAAATTCGAGAACTGAGAACGCTATCCGGTGAGAGTACCATCAATCGAAATTCCAAATTCCGTTACATATGCGAAAGATTGTATGTTTATGTACGTCATTACTATTACAGCCTACCGCTGCCTTATTACGATTGGGCGTCCACCTTAAATGTTGAACGCCTTGAAGCCTTCAGCTGTCGTCGGGTTTTGGCTATACCTAGGGGGACATGCGTGGCTTTCAGATTGAGGACGCTATGCAGATTGTCTAATCCTTGACACATTCCAGACTTGAAATGTTGCAAAGGGGAAGCAGCAAGTAAGACCATCCTTTGTGCCTACATGTAGTCTGCCTACAATTGGAGTTCGACACTGTACCGTACCTTGAGTGGAGTCAGTGCTATGAGTAACAAGGCAACCAACCAAGAGATGCCTTTAGAAGCAGTGCCACCGGCACGAATTTTTAGGGGGGGTTAGGCATTTAGTCGGGGGGCGGGAAAGAAAAAGAGAAGAGAAGGGGTTGGATTCCCAGTTCCATGACCGGTATGTCACACTCCGATGACATGTCAGTTGACATAGATATACAAAATTGGGGATCAGGCAGTCATTAATCATTTCGTTAACTCTGTGATGGTCACTTCCCCTTGATAAGGTTGTCGGGCTCGACCAACGGACACCAAAAAGACATGAAAAAGACACCCGCACCTCACAGAGCCTCATAAATAGATTCAAATCGGACTCCTTCTAATCTGGTCTAGTTTTTGTTACTTTTCTCCTACTATAAAAAAAACCGACAATGAGGATCGTGTGGTGGCCGTCCTCTCCTGCGCGGACTATTCCTCCAAGCTCTATTCCTTTCACAACAAAACCCTCTCTGTGCTGGTGTCATGGCAAGGTAAGGAGAGACTTGCATGTACATTAGTTGTTGTTGCCGCTGCCAATTCTGCTGCCATTGGTGGAAAAGCTGTTGTTGCTGCAGCAATTGTTGCTGCGTCGGTGCTGGTGCGATTGCTTGCTGATGGTGGCCCTGCTCGTGAGGAACCGTCGCTGTTTGTTGCGTAACAACATGATTGTCGTTTATTGTTGGCGATGGAGATGCCGGCTCATCTGTTGTCTCATTTAGGGTATCGCTGGTATCACCATTTTGAATTTGAATTGTCGGTTGGTGCACCTCGCAAATTGAGCAACAGCAACGCTCATCTGCATTGTACGATGGTGACTTGTCATTCTGCCACTGTAAGTACTCCAAAAAGAATCGCTCGCCTGTATCATCGCAAACTGTCTCCACATTCAAAAATGGCAGTTTGCTTGCACCAGCGTCTGTTGCCAATTGATTACATGTAACCCAAGCAAGCTCCAAATGATTAAAAAATGGGACAATGGTCTCCCATGATGTCGCCATCTTTTTTCGCTTATTAACACTGGCATCGTTGACAGGAGTTCTGGCAATGCGCAACTTGTGTCTCACTGAAACATTGAACCGAGCTGTTCCTGTCAGATTAAGGTTGTCGGCAAGAGTGTTTCTCATTCCACAATTGGCAAAGTGCGCAAGCATCAAGTGAAATGACTCGAGGCAAGACTCTCCCCTTCTTGACAAGTATTCTTTGAGTCCATGAGTTGAGTTGGGGTTTGGCTGAATGGATTCATACATTTCTTCCAAAGGTAACGGATCCTGTAAATGTTCAGCTTTTTCCTTGCAATTTGTCCAAGCAACCTTTGTCTCACTTGTAAACAACGACTGCTGAGTTCTTGGATCGTAAGATCCTCCTGCCGGAACCGAATCAGGACCGCTTGTGGAGCACTTGAACCGATGAAACCACTCTTCCAGATTGGATTTGAGTGACAACGGAGGCAGGATTTCTTTGCGGAAGTACTAGTTTAAGGGTGGTCCTGAGCCATGAAAAAAATACATCCATTTCGCTATAGTAAAACAGTACACAGTTCCTTTTCTGGCTGTAAAATAGTCCACAACTTCTGTTAACTCCAATAAGAATGGATCAACACTAGTGCAATTAACTCCAAGTTTAATGTGCTTTATTGTTTGTATTTGCTGTGACAGCTCAAACATAAGAGACAAGCATATACTTTAATAAAAGAGGTTGATTTCGGTCACATTTTGGCCTTCTTGGATGTTCTCATTCGACTATAGTGTTAAGTCTATTGAGTACCGTTTACACTTGTAAATCCAAAGTGGGTATTGAGCCATTCGCTGCGTAGGATTTTGTACCAGGGCTACTGGTAAAGCTCAAAACCACTGCTAAACTAGTACTTGTTGTATCGTTGACGAAATGTATGGGTTGCTTTCATCTCCTTTATGTCCTCATCAGTGTATTTTGTCCCAGTGTTTGACAGGTTACCTTCCTTCAACGCTGCGAGTAGTGACTCGTAATCATCCTTGTTGTAAGAGTAGACAGCAGCAAGAAGCTGGTTCACTGCACGAAAGTAATCCACGTGTTTCTTCCTCATTGTCTTGATGATGCACTGCAAGAAATGAAAGAGACCAAGTCGACCCTTGACTCTTTCTCCAAGCAAAAGCGACCAATACTGACTCTTACAGGGCCATGTATCACTGTACATGACACGGGGGTTGAAGTTGCTTCTTCGAGATAGCTGTGTTGCTGCATGGGAAAAGTGAATAGTTTTGGTGGAAGGAACCAGCACGGCACAAGCAATTTCTCCGCTTCCAGTGGAAACTGTCCACATCGCATGGGCTCCAAGCTTCTTTTTGTGGAAGTAATTCTTGGTGACCTCATGAGTGTGGTCTTGAGCAAAGATGGCATTGCAACCAACACCTTGGATCTCCCGGGTGTGTCTGTCATGATCACTGATACCCCACGGGTTATTGCAACTGGAGGAAGCTTCATCGTACACGTCTCTGATGGTGTCACCGAGTGGAGGAAAACACCGAATGAATTCTGTATTCGATGGATCATTAACCGGTTCATTGACTGGCTCTTTGGTGGCAATAAGAAAAGAATAATAGCTAGAAACCCGTTCCATGTATGCCCTATTCACAGCTTGATAGAGAAGTCGACTGCAGTGTTCTCCATTGCCATAGGTAGGCAGAAGCAAATCGAAAACATCCGTAGCACCCCTCGCCAGATGACAATTCCTATTTGAAAGGGCATATTTGGGTTCAACTGGATAACAGGACGCCGCAAACGCGGGTAAACTGCAAAGAATGAGACCATCATTCGCATTGTACCGAGCTCCGCAGGTTGCTTCATTGTTGCATTTCAATGACATGACCATACACCATAGTGGTGGCCCCTCAATGCCGAAGATAGGAAATAGGATTTATTCTTTGAGAAATTCGTTCGGTCATTTTTGAGGCACCCACGACCACATGAAGGGCATGTGATCTCCAGACCAAACATCTTTTTCCAGTCAACAAGTAGTAGTTTCTGACCAGTGATGCTGTGATAATGCGCATTGACACATTCATTCTTGGCTGGTGGCACGGTAATTGTCAAACCTCGAAAGTGAGATTCAATGAGTGCTCCACCCTTTGGCCTGATGATCGAATCGACGACTGCCCCAGCAAATGCAAGCATTGCTAGTGGGGCTTTGTTGTTGGCATGTTCATCGCAGAATTCTTTGTTGTTAAGCTTCTCTACAACCAACTGGCATAAATCCAGAGGCTTGTCGCTGATTGTGGGGGCTTGCATGTCAATATTGGAAGTTTTTTTTTTGGGTCTTCTTTGTTCGACTTCTGGGGTTAAAGAACGCACCACCTCCATTCAAATGTGCTGCGCTAAATCCAGCAGGAGCGGAGAAGTGCCTCCTCAACCTCTTCTCTTCCGTCAATGTTTCCAATGCAGAACCAGTGAAGCCCTTGGTTTGTTTGTTGTTGGCACAAAGAGCGTGGTGTCCTCGGTGGGGCTCTCTTAAGCCGTAAGCCCTGGCTTTACAGATAACACAGTCTCGCAATGAATCAAAAGCGATTTCGCCCGTCAGGGTTAATTGATCTCCCTTCCTTCGTTTGTTGCCGTGATTCTGTTGTTGTAGTGAGTGCGTTCTTTTCTCTTGCGAAACTCTCCTTTGGCTTTGCTGGCCCATGTTATCAACAATTGTTGCTCTTCCATTTTGCTGCTGCTGCGGCTGCTGCTGCTGCGGCTGCTGCCGCTGCCGAGCATAAGGGTTGACTATTGCTCTGCTATTATTGCTCTCCGCCATCTTGCTATTGCTATGACCCAGACCTTCTTAACATCATTGACGACGGAATCCGTCGATCCACCTCCGATGGAATGTAAGCGAAAGATTCGCGCCATTTGGCTTGGCGGGGTGCAATGCTGACATCAGTATTGGAGTCTTATCGTTAAATGAAATGGTGTCTTTTGGAGTACCGTGGTACCCATTAACCAATCATATTACTGCCTACTTTCCGATTTTACCCGGCACCTTTGGGGTGACAAAGATCAAGGGCTTAGGTCCTGCCTTCCACGGTCACCCCCCACGCTCTCATGGCTGCTCGTTGAATTCCCAAAATACTAGAGGTCAGCAAACAACGACGAAGGACTGCAAAATGATGTTTTCCAGTTAGACAAGAAAGCAACTACTCCTAGCCAGAATTGCCGTACGGACGGTACATGGAAGACTTCCTTAAAAGTTGCAGCACCTTTCTTGGTTGCATGTTCTCTTCATTATTTGCATTGTATCTGTTTCAAGCTGCTACGGTAGGATTGACGATCTGCTGGACTCGACGGAGGCCTGAAGTTTTCTTTTTGCATCCCGCAATGCTCTACAGTACGTTTACTAGTCTAGCTAGCTAGTTGTGAACAAACATCGTCTGAAGAAGAGATCTGTCCTTGATTTGGTGGAAAAGTCATTCCTTGAAACCACAACTATGTTATAACTCTGCCGCAGTCGAGCCACACCGTACCGTACTGGTATCGTATCAAGTCATGCATTTGTTAAGAACTACCAGGTACCACTAATCACCAACTACAGCACTTTTTTAGATCCACGGCACAAAGGAAAGAGGGCGCTTTCGTTGGACGAAATGATCCGTGTGTCGACAGCACTGTTTCTTGTGACTCTTTTTCCAATCTTGCAACTGGCATTCATAGGAACAGTATGCCACTTTGAGACAGTTGGAACATTCTTCAAATTCTCCTCTCGTCGATTCCAAGCGATCACATCCATGACATTTTCCTAATTCGACATGATAGGCGGAAGATGGCCGGTTGTGCTGCAAGAGTGCCTGCCAGAGTGTTTCATCGTGTACACTTTGAATATCGAGATTGGTCAATTGTTCGTAGGACGGCCCCACAATGGAGAATAGCACTACAAGCCATTTTTGCTGTTCAAAAGCAAACTGTTGTTCCAATTCATAATGACACGCTTCTCGCAAGGCTTCCAACGCCGTTGTTTGAACTCCTCCTGGCTGGGAGTGAATGTCAATGCGTACATCGTTCACCTTGTACGTCAATGCCTTGCAGCGTTGGATCTGTTTGGTGGGTCGTCGTCGGTGGTTGTTGCTGTATCGTCGCAGTTTGGACGACAGTAATGCGCGTTGTTGGTATACCTTGAGGACCGTGCCATCGAGTAAGTCCAATACTTGCCGGCACGGTTCGTTCTTGCCTTTGATACGTAGAATGTGGGCCAATATACAGAGTATGACGGAGCATTTTTCGGCATAGAGATCGTTCATTTGAAAGAGGACGTGCACGTACACCGACGCATGCCGACGAATGTCTCGAAAGAGGAGAGTGTAGAGTTCCTCGCAATCCATATCTTCGTGACAATGCTTGGTCCTTCGACGAACGTACTCGGTATGGACCTCATTGAAAAGATGAAGGTGTGGAGCCACTAGCAACAAGTCTTCGGTGGCGGACATGATGCACTTGTCAAAAGAAATGAGAAAGGTGGAGAAAGCTAGATAGAAGGGGGTCCATCAACAGTCGGTCTTGCGACGACGGAGGTCGGAGGTTCATTGGCATGGTCCTTCCACTCCTTCGAGCCAGCCGTTCCGTCAGCAAATTCGATGAAATCGATCGATTCGATTCTATTCGAAGCATTCAATTTTCAATTCGATGTCCAGACCTTCGATGCAGATGCTGGATCCATCTGCCTGCATGGCCACACCCGGATCTTTGGAAAGGCAAAGAAGAGAAGCAACCCATCACAAAAGAAACTAGAGAGAGCCATTCATTCTGGTGGCTTGAACGTTGAATGATCTGAGGTCTGAGGCATCAAAGCAACTATTTCTTCCAAGATGACAGGCGAAAGTACTAGTACAAGCAATAGGAAGCCGTTGCTACATGTATTTGTTCTGGCAACATGGTGTTCTTGTTGGGTGGTCGAAGGTTTCCTAGTTCCCGCGAGAACTCTGGCTCCCACAACAACGACGAATCCGTTGGTTATGTCTCAGAAGACTGTTATTACAAGTACATCCAAGCAGCCACTGTTATGGGCCAAACGAAGTGACGATTCAGATGACGACGAAGAGGAGGAGGATGATGAGGACGACATGTTCGATGACAGTGATTGGCGTGATTTCCGGGCCAAATTGGTCATGGGTGAAACCAAAGAAGCTTCTGGTAGTCGTAGTACTCCTCCTCCTCCCAGCGACGCGGAAATCATTGAGGATGCCGATGGCATTGGAGATCTCGATGGAATTGGGAGTATCTTTATGGATTCCAGTAGACTTCCTACGAACGACACAACCTCCAAAGCATTCAGCGATGCTTCTTCCACTGCCTCTGCAGCAGCAGCTGCCAACAAAATGACACCACTGGATCCCAGTCAATGGGCCTACGAATCGGGAAAGGTCATTGAACAAGGAGCTGTCATTCTGGGAGGAGTAGAACAAGCATTTGGATTTGGATTGAGACAACAGTACTTTCATAAGGCAGCCATTCTGGTACTAGATCATGAAGAAAACACTTTCACCAAGGGCATTATTCTAAACAGACCCACTGATTTGACTCTGGAAGATGATATCAATCCAGGAGTTAGATGGAGAGTTTGGTTTGGCGGAGTAAGTGAAGCAACACACACACACACACACATAAAACCAAGCATTCTTATGCTTCCTTTTCTTCTTGCATCTGACATTTTATTTCATTCTTCATTCCTGTTCCATTTTTCACAAATAAATAAAGGATGTCCAAGGATTGAATTCTGCCAAACCAGACATTGTGTGCCTACATTCCCTCAAAAATGAACAAGCTACAAAGGCAAGCATCAAAGTCATGAAAGATATCAAATGGACCACTTTTGAAAATGCCAAACGGTTAGTACAAATTGGTGCCGCACAACCCACCGACTTTTGGGTATTCATGGGATATGCAGGTACGTACAATACAAACAAAGAGAAAGAAAAATGCCACCAGCTACTTTTTTCGCCTCTTTAGAGCACAACCTGTTCAACTACGTGGCAGCTCATATATTATTATAACCATGCTCTGTGGATCTTTGGTCGTCATCAGGATGGGGAGCAGGCCAGCTCATGGGAGAATTGAATCGCAAATCATGGTACATGGTGGCCACCGACTCCCAGACATTACTCAAAGAACTAGCTCGACAATCGGCAGCGTCGGATCCCAGGGAGGCAGGATTGGATACATGGACTCTTCTCATGGATATGATTGGTCGCAGCGGGATTGCCAAGGAATACACCGGGGATTTCGACGACCTCATGCTGAAAGAATGGGCGCTGGGCAATCTGTTGTCGGCCGAAGCGGGGGGAGGTGGCGGGGAGCGAGATTTGTCCGCCGATGCCGCTATCCGAGGTTCTCCGTCGTTTCCCATGGAATCTACTCCCAAACGCGGAGGCAACAACGACCCCTTGTTTGGTAGGTTGATGAATCGCATGACTTCGCGAGGTGGAGGTGACCAAGTCCAAGAAGGCTCCGTGTTACGAGCATCTCCTGCCGATCGATCACCCTTCTTGCTGCAAGGACAAGAATACCACAAATCGGTGGTGCTCGTCCTCAGCGAAGAAAACGGGATTACCGTGGGCGCCATTTTGAACCGACCGGCTTCCAAAGGTTTGGACATTCAAATTCGAGACAAGAGCACGGGAGAGAAAAAGAAAGTTATGGTCCCTCTCCGATTTGGTGGACAATATACAGTCAAGGGTTCTGAAGCCCTCTTATGGCTTCATTCCAGCTCCAAACTCCGCGATGCCGACGTCGGAGCCCCAGTAGGTGGACAAGAAGATGGAATCTGGAAATGCACTGCAGAAGATGTGATCAGTGCTATTGGAAGACACATTGCCAAGCCAGAAGACTTTGTAGTAGTCAGTGGTGTATCCGTATGGGGCACGGTCCCTGGCAAATCTCAAGCAGGAGGAATTCAAGAAGAAGTAGACAAGGGCAAGTTTGAATTGGTTCCCGATTCCAACATCAAGTCTGTGTGGAATGCACTATCGAAGCAAGATGTGTTGACGAGTGAGAACTTGTCGCTCAATCTAGAACTCGCAACGGAGGCGTGGAATGCGGGTGCTGGTAGACGCAATGGCAAGATGAACGGTGCCTTCACGAATGGAAGGTCCAATGGAAAGGAAAACGACAATCTGCCACCCATGAGCGGTCTTGGTGATGGTTTCGACGAGGAAGACGATAGTTTAGTATTCAAGTCTTCCGTGAAGGTGTCAGCATTGAGTGATGATGCGTTGCGCAGTTGGGTGAAAACGTTTTTGTTGGGCTTGCCCTCCATGCAGGGCTAGCTAGTAGATGAACTCGAGACCGTTACGGCACGATGGACTTTTGCCCGACCTGTAGCAATGCACCCTTGAAGTCTGTTTCCAAACAGGCTTTGTACCTAGAGTCTAGAAGAGAGAACCCGGATAAGAACCCACCTTTCTACAATGCATATTACAGATGGCCTTTCTAAGCTCAATCGTAGTAATTTATCCATGATTCACTCAACCATGTGTTTGGTCTCACATACATGGCATATGGTCTAGCTAGATTTGGTACGTGAGTGACTATTTTGTGGTCCCGCGCCATTTAACAGTTTCGTTCACGGTAGACTGAGTGGCTGTCTAGATCTGATTGGTTTTGCAGGCTGAACATGCCTCTAGCTACTAGCTACTCAGTACTATGTAGTAGTAGCTAGAGCCCATCAACTTGTTTTTGTACCGCATTGTTCCTTGCAAGCTTGGCTAGTTTCTCGCGGTAGGGTACTGTAGGGTATTGTACCTCATGGCTGCTCCACCACTTTAGCTGGTGGCAGCTGTCGATGTAATGATACCAGTACAACGTACCGGTACCGGTACCAGGTACCAGGTACCACTGTAAGTCGGCGGAGACGGGTGAGAGTGAGAGGGTCGAGTGACAGTCAAGTGACTGTGAGTCGTGTTGGGGAGACAAGAAGGCGGTGAAAGAAGCAAAAGTGAGGTAAGTCCGGCGTGTTTTGACTCGCCTCGCTGTTGACATTTTCTATTCCGATGGTTTTCCGACGAGCGGAGGAGCGCATTTCTCTCTTCTTTCGCGGCCACATCGTCTCCATTTCATCTCATCGGCTGTCTTGAAAGAGGACACACATTGATGGGTTGGTTCGTAGAGAAGTTGGTGGGGAACAGTTGACATCAGATTGATTCGAGCATAGAATAGAACAACAGTTTCAACAATCCACAGCACCTCCTCATAGATTTCTAGCTGCTATCTGGCTGGATCACTGGCGATCGATAGAGCACTGTGAATGTCATTGTTGTAGTACTCTACTGTACTGTACACCATGGTGATATCGTCGTCTCTTGTCAATGTGTTCTTGTTCAAGCCACCACCATCAAGGCCCTATGACTTTCCTACCATTGAATTGACGACCGCACGAGGCCAGAAGATCGCAGCAACGTATGTTCGAAGACGAGGCGCCAACGTCACTCTTCTCTTCTCTCACGGCAATGCGGAAGACTTGAACAGCAGTTACTGGTACATGGAGCGCATTGCAAAGACGTGTGATGTCAACGTCATGTGCTATGATTATACTGGATACGGGAGTTGCAATGAGAGTAAGTTTCCCGCTTCTCTGCTACGATACCGGTATCAGCATCATACGGTACTGGTCTATTTCCTAGGTTTTTGTGTGTCATTTTCCCCACACTCATCCATCTCTTCCGACGTTGAATACATGAATGACAGGCGATCCAAGTGAAGAGGATTGCTATGCAGACATTGATGCTGCCTATGAGTGGCTACTCAGCGAAAAGAATCTTGTCCCGGAGCAAATTGTGCTCTACGGAAGATCCTTAGGAAGTGGACCTTCCGTTTACTTGGCCAACAGGACATCGAGGCAAGGAAGACCTGTGGCTGGCCTGATTCTACACTCTCCCTTTACTTCAGTCTATCGAGTTGTCTTTGACATGGGATTCACCATGTTGGGAGACAAGTTCTCCAATATTGATCGCATATCAGAGTTGGATTGCAAAGTCTTTATTGTCCACGGACAAGAGGACACAATTGTGCCATGCGAGCACGGACAAGCACTCTTTTCTCTTGTCCCCGACAAAATGAAGGCAGAACCCTTCTTTGTCAAGGGAATGGGGCACAATGGTACGTTTAGTGGAACTGGTGGTGTGCAAAGAACGCTGTGGTCTTGCCTCATCTAACCATGGCATCTTCGACTGTACCCACAATTCTAGGATTTGATTTTCATCTTGAAGTCATGTTGATGAATAGAATCAATGCCTTTCTGGACTACCACATACTTGCACGGAGGCTTTGGATGAAGGGTATGAATACACGCAAAGGTTCCAAGCGAAGACGATCGCTCGGTTGAACAACGTCAGAAAAACAAACAGGCACTGTTGTACCGGTATCGAGGCTATGCTGATTGTGCTCCTTTGTGATGGTTTTATAAAATAAATAGGGAATACCCATTATTCTTCTATCCGAGCCGGTTCTACGAATGGATTACTATAATAGTAGATAGAAGCTCGCCGAGCAAAGCAACCGTATGACTAATAATCTTCGTCGTCATCAAGCTGCACTCCGGAACCCTTTCGTTTCCCAAAGTTGAATTGGGGCGCCTTGAACTTGCGAGTGCTCTGCCCTTTAGGAATTGCCGCCTTTCCAGCGTCAGGTTTACTATTGTTGGTGAGGCCGACGTTGGCTTGCGATTCATCATCGTCCCAAGCTTGCTGATTGGAAAAAAATGTCTGCTCTCCGGCCGCACGCAGCGGCCCTGCTGCGGTCTCAGAGATGGCGCCCAGCGTGTTCTTTGCCTTGTTACCAGCTTGCTGCACCTTCGCCGGCAGTGCATTCAACGAGGGAAGGCCAGGGAGAGGAGGCAGCGCCTCGTTGCCTCCAGCACCCAGCGCAACAGTTGCCAGGTCATCAAGCCTGTTGTCGGCAAGATCATCGTTCTTCGAATTCGAAAAGTGGCCAGCGAGGCCTGTGTTGCCTGCTTTCGCCTTTGGCTTTTTCTCTGCTGCCGCCGTCGCCGCACCGCCTTGAGCATAAGGCTTGCCACCAGCATTGTAATCATCAAAGAGGCCTGGCTTTTGGTTGGCTTTGTTCTTGTCGTTGTTGTCAAACGGGCTATATTTCTTTGCCGTGCCCTTTCGCAAGTTCTCCAATTCTCTCTCCATCATCTTTCGGGTCAGACCCTTCTTCATGTCCGCCATCTCTTGCTTCAACCCGCTGGTGGACAGTATTTTCACGCCTTCCTGTCGCCTCATTTCTTCGGCAAACACTTCTGCGGGGTCAATCTTTGGTTTCTTTCTCTTTGGTTTCTTCCTGGCGCCTGCGTTTGCGCTCTTGGACCTGCTGACGTTGGAGTTCATCGACTTGCGCGATTTGTCCATGTCATCATCATCGTCATCGTCATCATCGTCGCCTTCTTCGTCGTCATCTTCTTCGTCCTCGTCTTTGGCATCACCCAAGAAGAGTGAGCTTTCGCTGGCTCTCTTATTCAAGACTCCCGCGTTGCGAAGCATGGCTTCTTCGTCCTCCTTCTTCTCTTCGCCTTGATCTTCATCGTCGCTTTCTTCGCTCTCATCGTCACTATCACCAAAGACTTCGCGCATGGCGTCGATGAATTCCTTGGAGAACTTGGACCCGCCATTTTTCTTCTTCCTGCCACGTTTTTTCTTTTTGCTGTCCTTTTCGGACTCAAAGAGGATGAGTCTGGGTGTGTCTCGGAGCAGATCAGGGTCCAAGTTTTCGTCTTCCGTCTTGTTCCGCCTCCTTGCCCGTTCTTCGAGCTTGCGTTCAAACTCTGACACCACCTTGGGGTCCACGACAACTTGGTCGTACATATCGTCAAATTTCTCAAGGTCGACTTCCATGTTTGCAGTGGCGTTGCTGGGGGTCTCCGCCATGTGGGAGAGGCTCTGTTGCATGGACGACATCATTTCCAGCATGGCTTCCTCCTCGTCTTCCTTGTCGGTGCCATCTTCATCGTCAGACTCGTTGTCGCTGTCATCTCCGTCATCATCGCCCTCGCTCTCCTCGTCTTCGTCGCTATCTTCACTGTCGCTAATCTCCACCTCCTCGGCCTTTGCCAAAAGGGCTGCAATATCGGTCAGGGACCCTTCCTTGCTGTCATCATCGTTCTCGCCATCTTCGCCTAGCTGGAAGTCGCCAATCTCATTTGTGAATGCATCCAGGCCAATGGTTTGGGGCAGTGCGCTCTTCCAAGGCCTACTCTTGCCATCGTCCTCATTATTTTCCTCCCCGAAGACATTTGTTTTAGGCTCTTCCAGCATTTGCTGGACTTTGGCCTCGTCACTCGATTCAATGGTCCCAATGCTGAGTTCATCACCATGGGTGTTGAACTTTATTTGGTGTTGTCGCTTCTGTTTTCCTTTCTTTTTCTTACTCGATCCCTTTTTCTTCTCGTCGTCTCCGGCTGCATTGGGTGCTGTTGGAGCAACGACTGGCTCTGGGTTTTCGATCCTTGCACCTGAAACGACAATTTTTCCATAGACTTCTCCATTTTGCATGACTGTAAAGGCCTTGGATGTGTCGATTTGATCATCATCATCAAAGTACACTTTAGCCTCCATCAGGCCATTCACTGTTGTTTGAAATGAACCCATGGGCTGGTGTTTGCCATTCTCCTCCCAGTCTAAGATCTTGACCTGGATGGGCTGATCAAGGTCACGCTTGCACAGCATTTCAAGATTCATTTCCAGTGGCTTCCATCTTGGATTCAAGTTGTTTTCAATGTGCTCAGATTGAAAGATTGGCTGCCACATGCTAGGTGGAGGCAGTCCAGTGTACGAAGCAATTTCCACAAATGGGTCGGACATGCCAAAGAAACCTTCAACGTTGGCCAGCTCTGTACCACATAGCGACAGGTGAAGTGCAGCGTCCTCGTGGAAGCCACTGGTATCCTGTGCAGCAGCATCTGCTTCGGATTCAGAATCTGAGACTACACTTGACCCCGATTCATCGTCCGATTTCTTTTTCCTCCTGGAACTTGCATCCGAAAACCTGCTCCCTGAAGAATAGCTCCTCCTGGATGAGCCCCTAGAGCTTCGGCTTCTGCTTCGGCTTCTGCTCCTACTACCATAGGAGCTCCATGACCTGGAACTCTTTGAGCGCCTCGAACTGTAAGAACGTCTCGAGCCACGAGATGAATTGCTGTATCGCCTCCCGCTTGACTCCCTTGGTTTTGCTTCATCCAGCACAATGGGTTTTACTTTCGGGGCATCCGCATGAGCACCCAAAACAACAATCCTTCCCACTTCCTTGTTGCCCTCCATTAACGGGATGCTGTTGGCATCATCAAAGTTGTCCCCGCTGCCAAAGCCTCCAACTTTGGCTTCAATAAGTTTGTTCACAGTAGTCTCGAAGGATCCCATTGGGGCATGCCCAGCTTTCTTGTCATTCTGATCAAGCACAGAAACCAGAATTCGTTTGTCCAAATTACCATCGCAAAGTAGGTCCACGCCCATAGAAGCCGGTTTCCAACTGGGCTCAAGTTCTCCTTCTATTGCTTCAGATGTGTACACCGGTGTCCAGGGCTGCGCTGTGGGGCTGTGAGCCGAAATCGAGAAGTACGGGTTTGGCTTGCCAAACCACCCACGCACATTGGTGAGCTTTAAACCACGAAGAGTAAGATAGAACTTCAAATCAGCCTTAACCTCTTCCTCGGTTTCTGCTTGATTCTGCAAACTTTCCCAGGCGCCCAACTTGAGGCCGCCATCACTTCCATCAGAGCGACGACTCCGGGAACGCGACCTGCTCCGCGACCCGCTCCGCGAACGCCTGCTGTAGTCTGACCTCCTTGAACTATAAGATCTCGACCTGGAGCCTGACCTTGATGAGCGTCGGCTGTACCTTGACGACCGAGACCGAGAAAGGGAGCGGGATCGCCGGCTACCCCGGCTGTCAAATGAGCGGCGGGAGCGACTACTGTACGATCCTCTACTCCGACTGTCAAGCGAACGTGGCCTTGACCTACTGGATCTTGATCTTGATCTGGACCTCGAGCGTGAGCCTCGGCTGTCGAATGAGCGAGAGCCGTAAGACCTTCTGCTCCTGCTGTCATTGGAGCGTGACCGGGAACGGGACCTTGACCTAGATCTTGACCTGGACCTCGAAAGGGAGCGCGAACGGCGGCTGTCGTCAAAGGAACGTGGAGAGCGAGAGCGGCGGCTGTCGTCAAGGGAACGAGGGGAGCGGTTGGACCTTTGGCTCCCAATGGAGCCCCCCTTAGATGGAGATGGAGAACGGGACCTCGACCCGAAAGACCGAGAGTCCCGCGACCCTCGAGAGTCTGGAGACTTCCTTTCTCGGCTATCATGGGACCTGCGAGAACCGGACAAGTTTGAACGTTTGCTGTCGTAGGATCTCTGACTTCCATCGCCCTCCAGTGACTTCTTGGAGCCATTAAAGTCAGAAAGTGTCGAAGCATCAGAAAGAGAAGATCTCCTCTTGGAGGGGCTGTCCCTTGACCGGAAACTGTCACTCCTTCTGGAGTCACTCCTGCGCGAGCCGCTACGCTTGGACAAGTCGTCATCAATTGACCTTGAGCCTCTCGACTTGTCGTCTGAACGCCTAGAGGCACTGTCGTCGAATGATCGCTTTGAGGCGCTGTCATATGAACGTGGCGAGTCCGACCGAGAACCCCTTGACCGGTCATCAAATGAACGCCTTGAATCACTGCCGTATGAACGCTTAGAGCCGGACCCACGGCTACCGTATGAACGCTTAGAGCCGGACCCACGGCTATCGTATGAGCGCTTAGAGCCGGACCCTCGGCTGTCGTTTGAACGCCTTGAACCAGAACCACGGCTGTCGTATGACCGCCTTGAGCCAGAACCACGGCTGTCGTATGAACGCCTTGACCTTTCGTCAGAGAATCGGCTCTGGGAATCTGAGAAACTCCTGCTGCCTTTGGACCGGTAACTGTCCGAGCGCCGCGAATGGCTAGAACGGCTGTTGGAGCGTTCCGAGCGCCGCGAATCTTTCAATGAGTCATTGTCGCCTAGCAGAGAATCGTCCCCATCCAGGGAATGCACCCGGGCGGCACGAACCAAAATCGTTCCAAAGTCCTGGCCAGCTTCAACCACCGTGAACTTGTCACCATCACGTGCAGCATCAAGCAGCGCTTGCACTGTAACAATGACGGACCCCATGGGGTTCTATTTGATGGGCAGACGAGTAGACCAGGTGAGAAAAATCAGGAGCAAGTTCGGGAAACCCTAACCCTGTGGATCAACAACAACAAACACTCACGTGTTCACCAGATTCCTCCCAATCACAGACCCCCAGTTGGATGGGCATGTCGAGGTCACCGCCGCATAACCGTGACACGTTGACGGAAGCTTGTTCCCATTTGGGGTCAAGGGTGTCGTCGAGATGCTCCGAAGTGAACACCGTTTCCCACTCCGATGATCCTTCAACCTTGGTAGCAAACGTGTACATGGGGTCACTGCAGCCAAACCATCCCTCTACATTGGCCAAGGCAACACCCTCGAGCGTTAGAAACAGTGTTGCGCCCTTGTCATCGACAAAAGGCCTTTTCTCTTTTCTGGCAAAGGGTGGTTCGACCTCTTTCGTTGCTTTCGTCGGGCTTTTCGGTTCCTTTTTTGGGCTTCGAACTGGGCTCTTCGGTTCCTTTTTGGGGCTTCGAACGGGGCTCTTCTCTCTAGTCTTTTTCGCTGCTTTTTTTGGTTTCAACATGGCAGCCATTGCTGCCTCGTAACCATTTGGGTCTATCTTGCAATCCACAACTATGATTTTTCCGAACTCCTGCCCATCGTCTGATCGGGTTATCAATGCCTTTGATGTGTCCCATTCTCCATCCTTATTCTTCTCTGCCTTGGAGTACAGCAAGCGATTCACAGAGGTCACAAAGTAACCCATGGGGTTCTGTCACGAAAATAGAGAGAGAAATGACAGGGTTGAGCACCAATGCCAAGCTCCAGCAAAACCAGAAACGGCCAACAAACTCACATGACACTCGTCTTCTTCCCAGTCCATGAAGGAGATTCGTATTGGCTTGTCCAAGTCACACTGGCAAAGGGGTGCCATTGCAAGCATGGCAGGTTCCCACTGAGGATTCAAGTTCTCAGGGACATGCTCAGACTCATAGAATTTGTGCCACTTGGTCGTCCCGTCAATCGAATTGACAGGTATCTCAACTGCAAACATCGGGTCCGATGTTCCAAACCACCCCTCAACATTTGCCATGTCCACGCCCTCCAATGTCAGAACAAGGGCGCTCTTGTCGTCCACCTTCACCTCTGGTGGTGAATCTTGTTTGCCTTTGTCTTTTGACTTTGACCGCTTGCCAGAACTGCCTTTGACGCTTACATCCACAACCACAATCTTGCCAAACTCTTCACCATCATCTGCCTTTGTGATGAAGGCCTTTGACAAGTCCCACTTACCGTCTCGTTTCTCGGATTTGGAACGAAGGAGACGATTTACAGATGTCTCAAAGTGACCCATTGCTGCCAGAGCAAAATAAACAGTAAATTGTGAGGAACAACACAATCAACGGTGCCTCTTCAGTTGTACCGTGGACTTCTTTACTTACGGTTCTGCAGGATATATAGATAACGAGGGAGGGTTCTCGTGCGGTTAGATATGTATGCTTGAGCGTGGATAAGGCAGTACAAACAAGAAAAACTCACGTGTACACCTGACTCTTCCCAGTCGTATAGGCAGAAACGAATTGGTTTGTCGAGGTCAAGCTGGCAGAGGAGATTGACACTAATATCTGCAGGGTCCCATCGTGGATTTAAGCTGTCTTCAATATACTCGGAGCGATGAACCATCTGCCATATGACGTTACCATCAGGCCCTTTCATTGGGGTCTCAATTTGGTACATTGGGTCGCTCATTCCAAACCAGCCTTCCACATTGGCCATGTCAACACCTTCGAGCGTTAAAGACAGGACAGAGCTCTCATCCACCGAGACGGATTGTTGTTGGCTCTTCTTTCCTCTGGAGGACTTCACCTCAGGAGTCTCAATGTAGGCATCTGCCACCACAATATTGCCATATTCTTCTCCTTCCTCGTCCTTGGGTATGAATGCCTTGGAAAGGTCCCAAGAACTACCCTTTTCGTCGGCTATTGCGCCTAACAATTTATTCACGGTCGTTTCAAAGTGCCCCATGGGGTTGTGACGACCTAAAGATCATAGAAAACAGATTCGTGTCAGACCGAGCAAAGTTGGAACTGAAGACACGTAAAGTAAATAGGAATAGGACAAAAACCAACCTGATTCTTCCCAGTCAAAGAATTTGATTCGAATAGGCTTGTCCAAGTCGAGCTGACAGAGTAGGTCAATGTTGACGGCCACTGGTTCCCATTTGGGGTTTAGATTTTCTTCAATGTGTTCAGATCGAGCAATGTTTTGCCACAGCGTAGTCCCATCAAAACCCTTCATCAAGGCTTCAATCTGGAAGAAGGGATCCGAGGTCCCAAACCAACCCTCCACATTGGCCAGGTCCACTCCTTCCAGAGATAGGTGGAGCAGCGAGTTTTCGTTCAGTGATTTGGAAGACGAGTTTTTGCCAGACTTGCCTCTCCTGTCGTCTTTGGGCGGTGATTCGTCCTTGCTGCTGCTTTTCCTATCTCTTGGCGGTGATTCGTCCTTGCGGCTGCTTTTCTTGTCATCTTTCGGAGGTGATTCGTCTTTGCGGCTACTACTTTTCCTGTCATCTTTGGGAGGTGATTTGTCCCTGCTTTTCCCATCGTCTTTTGGTGGTGCTTCGACTTTCTTGGCACCGCTTCGAGGAGGCACCGGAGAGAGAGCCGGGTTTCCACCTGCGTCTAAGACTTGTGCTTCGACTACCACGAGCATTCCCTTGTCTTGTCCACCATCTTTGAGTTTGAATATCATGGAAGCATCGACACTGTCGGTCTCACCCACTTTTTTGCGGACTAAATCGGAGACCGTGGTCTCACAAGTTCCAATAAGAGTTTCTTTGGTTGGTTCCTTGTCGTATACAGAAACCATGATTGGTAAGTCCTTATTTCCACCACAGAGCTCTTCCATACTGACTGATGATTGCAACCACTTGGGATTAAGGTCGTTGTCAATTGTTTCCGACTCGAATACCACCTCAAAGGGATCTGCACTCCCCATTTTGAATGCCAGCAATTTGTACATTGGATTGGCACCACTCCCCCGCAACATCCCCTTTGAGATTGGCTCTATATTGATGCCTCTCAGTTTGAACTCTAGCCGAGGGCCCTTGTCTAGTTCTTTGTCGTCATCGGGAGGAGTGGGCGGCAATTCTGTCAGATTCTTAAACTTTGTCATCATCTTGATGCTGGCTACACCACGCTTCAACGTTTCTTTGGGTGGTTCCTCAATCTTGGCATCCATGACGACGACCTTTCCCACAGCCCCTTTCCCCGGTTCCTCCAACGTGAATAGTTTGGAGACATCCACATTGTTGAGGTCATCGACTTTCTTCCTCAGAAGCGCACTGACAGAAGTTTCAAATGCCCCCATGGAGCCAATATCATTTCCTTTGGAATCCTGATCAAAGACAACAATTTGGATGGGTCGGTCCGTGTCGCCGCCACAGAGTTCCTCGCAGCCCACCGTAATGGCAGGCCATTCTGGATCGAGGTTTTGATCGATGCGCTCGGAAGTCTCCACTGCTGCCCAGAGCTCCGACGCTCCAATGGCCATGGCACTGATTTTAAATGCAGGGCTGGAGGTTCCAAACCACCCTTTGTTGACGTTGGTCAGGCCCACACCCCGAAGGGTCAAATGCAATTTGGCGGACTCATGAACTCGCGGCATCCTCAGAGACTGATTTCACCTGAGGAACGTCACAGTTCCTCGGCTGTGCAACAGGAAAGATTTTCTTTATTTTCGCCGCTGTTTAGCGTTTGTGGCGACGGCGCTCAAGCTCCAGGAGCGATGGCAACGGGCCTCGATTGAAGCTTTGTTCTTTCCCAGGCACGACTGGTAGCAAAAGGAAAAGAGAGGATTGGCATCTGCAACTTCAGCACCTCGCGAAGCGCCGAATTAACAAATCATCCAACCAAAAACAAGATGGTACACCAGTCGTGCTGCTGGCTACCAATACGTCTTTGTAGATTGTTTGGGTAACAGCCAAGCCCACGACAATCCTTGCGCTGTGAAGAAGGCAAGAAAGATGAGGGCTGAAGCCAGAGCCGGGGGATGGCTGCAATAATAATGCGAGTGTCGTGTTTATGCGGGACTTGGAAATTTTCATCGAATAATTCGAAAAGTGACGGCCAAATCGACCTCTTTGTCACACAAGGCCACCATGGTATTTTGAAATACATCGTACCAGGTCTGGTACCGGTAGCTACGTACGTGTACCCAGCTCTGGAGCATTGCATTTGTATTGGATTCTTGCCAGTGAATGAAAGTCAAAAGTCAGTTGCGGGCCGAGCAGAGAGGGGAATAGGAGACACACTTGGGGGGAGGCTTGGATCAGGTGGTACAATCTCGTGACTGGTCTCCAGGCATGATGCACGGAGGCTTTGAAGTGTCTCAACAAACTGTTCCCCCTTATTTACAAGGGCGATAGAATGCTGAATCTTCATATTATTGAACATCCTTTGGGAGTACAGTACCGGTATGCCTATGAACATTGAGCTTTGTTGGCACTGTTGTTAGCATTGAGTGTCCAGAGTTGCTGGGATCTTTTAAACAACCCTGGTACCGTACCGAACGTACCTTTCCACGCCACTCGCATTGCCTCAGCAGCCTACTGGCTTTCCCCCCGAGATACCAAAACTGCATTGACGCATTGTCCGGACCAATGAACTCCGAACAGGTCGATCATAGTCACCTCGAACCGCATTGCAATCTCCCCAAGAGAAGAAGTCGCTTGTGGACTGAAGATAGGACAATGGTGGACCAAACAACAACAACTAGCACTGCCACTGCTCGAACTACATCTCCTCCCACAGCTGCCAAAGCTGTCGTGTTGTATGGCTACGCGACAAGCCCGTTTGTGAACAAGGTGGCCCATTTTCTGCAGTACAAAAAGATTTCCTTTCAGCATGTTGCCGTTAATCCAATCTTTCCCTTTCTACAGCTCCACCGTTTCCCAGGCCAGCGAAAAGTGCCCGTCTTGACGATCGATGATGACTGGAAAGCCGACTCAACTAGTATTGGTATTTGGTTGGACGAACAATTTCCTGCCCATCCAAAGTTGCTGGGCGACACTCCCCAAGAAACGCAAGCAATTCTGGCGTTGGATGAATGGGTGACTAATGAATTGATCGCAGAACTCTTTCGAACCGTGGTGGACTGGAATGGACGTCCATGGGAAGCCATTGAAAAAGGATGGAGACTTGCATCTATACTACAGGATTTCACACCCATTCCATTCTTCATTCGGTGGTTTTGGCCCATTATCTTGCGGTTTGTACCATTTATTCGTCGGTTTGCTTATCCTACTACACCTTTGTTGTTGACATTAGTACCATCAGTGTTGGACACAAACGAGTCACTTGAGGACATGAGGGCACGACAACGTCAAGAGTTTGTGCATCATTTGGGGGGAGGACCGTACTTGGGAGGACGCAAGACAGTCTCCTTGGCGGATCTGTCCGCCTTTTCGGTTCTGACCACTTTTCGATTTTGGGGCCTGCACTTTGGTCCAGCGCCATTCTTGCAACACAAAGATACTGTAGCATGGCTCCATCGAGTTCAGGCCCAACTACCCAATAATCCAACTGTGATGCCCGATCGATTCATGGAATGGTCGTTACCTTGCGTGTCAAAGCTAACTCAAGACGCGGGAGATTCTAGCTAGAGACCTTCAGGCTGTCTCTCGGTGCCATAATCCGCTATTTTGGCAGTTCAGAGTAATACCGTAGACTTCGAAAGTCTGACAGATCCAAATTCTATTAGACCAGGAGATGTGTGTCCACAGTCCCTTGCAAAACCGACGCGTTTTCAGTTGACTCTTTCGATGAAGATCGTATCATTGGTTTGTCAATGTTGTTTTTTTGAGTCAACTGCTTCAATCTTTTTGACTGCAAAGGACCAGTGTTTGAAAGAGTGTCCCTGCCTTGCCCAACTCATCTCCAGCCCTGGAAAGAATATTTCCTGCTGCACTCTCGCCCTTGTTGGAATCTTCTGCCAACAACAAGTCCCCATAGTCTCTGAAAGAATCGCAGCATTTTTGAAACGCTTCGTGCACAGCTTCTTGTGATGCCTGAACGGCAGCTGGTGAATCCTCTTTCTGTAGACAAGATGCCAAATCCAACACAGCCTCACAAGCCATGTCCATTTCCTCGCCAATGCCAATCGGATCCAGAGTACAAGCTGCGGCGGCCAGATCTGCGGAACACACTTGGAGTGCCTCCACAAGTGTCACAATGCTACTATCAAAATCGTGTATTGTTTCCGATTCTTCTTCTGGTGGTGCCAAACTCTTTCCGGCCTGGATCAATTCCATTCCACAGCCACCAAACACTGCCGGTGATTCCCCCGTCAATCCTTCCTTGGAGGAGAACCAGTTGGGAAGTTTGGAAGCCATGTCCGACGTAAGCTCGCCGGAAAGAATGAGATGCTCACTGATGGGTGCCAGTTGATCGGAATACTTGTTCGAGACGGAAAATGCCAGCGCCAAGGATTTCAACAAGAGATTGAGGAACAACACAACGACCTGGAGTTGTCCAAGTAATAAGGAGTTAGAGTAGTATCGCGATGTTATCCTCATGATACTCCTGATTGTTTACTGGTACCGTATTCTCTTGTACTGGTAGCATGGATAGAAAGGCTCCAAACACTCAATTCATTCTAGCTAGCTGTCTCTTCACAACAGGAAAGGACAAGATCGAGCCAAGTTCCGTTGTAGCAGTCTTGTTGCCTCATTCATCATGACTGAAAGTACGGTATCTTTGACTCGACTCGACTTGGCTGGCCTTGACTCGACTCGACTCGACTCACTCAAACGATTGTACGCTTCTCTTTTTTGCATGCCGCCGACGACGACAGTCGACAGTCGACGGTCGACGGTCGACGGTCGACACCATGCGTGGGTATCATCGGTGCTGCAACGGGGAAACCATCTTTCAAGAGGGAAAAGAGTGATCTGAGACCCGAGAGACAGGACCGTAGCAAGCAGTAGCGAGCTATTAGCAGGCAAGACATCTATCTACTGATACCGTACCCGAGGCAATACAGTAAACCGACCACTTGTTTATGCCTTGTTCCTTTCTTTGGCGAAACCTTGGAATTGTCTTTGCTTCCATCAACACTTCTATTACGAGAACAACGGTCCATTCCCTCACCATGGCACAGCATCAACCAAAGCAAAGAAGAGGAAAGCCTGTTGGCTGTGACACATTTGTGGCATTTCCACCGGCAACTCCTGAAGGCATCATCGTATTTGGAAAGAACAGCGATCGACCGTCAGGAGAAGGGCAATCGATTCGTCGATATGAAAGCAAGACATACCAAGATGACACTAGTAGTCAGTGCCAATGCACGTATATATCCATCCCGCAAGTTGCCAAGACACATGCGGTACTGCTGTCTCAAATTGACTGGATGGTAAGTGAAATCCAATGGAAAATAATAATATCTGGGCTTGCTTCATTTATTTATTTCCAAGCGCTAATAACCAACTCTTCCCTTTTTGCTGTTCGTCCGTTCATTGTTAGTGGGGCGCCGAAATGGGTGCCAACGAACATGGCGTTGTCATTGGAAACGAAGCTGTCTGGACCCAAGATCTCGCCAGTGGACAACCCGAGCATTTGCTAGGAATGGATCTCGTTCGGTTGGGCCTAGAACGAGGTAGTAGCGCCAAAGAGGCCATGCAAGTCATTACTACGTTACTAGAAACACATGGGCAAGGAGGAGCCTGTGCCGAGGATGATCCGAGTTTCACCTACCACAACTCCTACTTGATTGTGGATCCCACCGAAGCGTGGGTATTGGAGACGTCGGGAAAACATTGGGTGGCAGAAAAGGTCACTACGGGAGTTCGGAATATTTCCAACTGCTTGAGTATTCGCTCCAAATTTGACTTGACTTCCAAGGGTATTGAAGACTACGCCCGCCAAAAAGGATACTGGAAGGAAACCGGTTCATTTGATTTTACACAGGCTTTTTGCGCTGGAAGCGTCCAAGAAGAAACCTCGGATCCAAGATTTTGTGGTGGCAAGAGGTTATTGGAACGGCATGCTGGAAAGGGCACTATGAACAAGAACGCCATGATTGCAATTCTGAGAGACCACCCCAGTGGCGTCTGCATGCACGGTGGTGGTTTTGAAACAACGTCGTCCTGGGTCTCTGAAATAAACATGGGAAAGGATGGTGGTGTGGACGGAGTGGCGGCCAGACATTGGGTAACAGGAAAGCCCCATCCGTGCAAGAGTGACTTTTTCGAGGAATGCGTGGTACCTCCAAATAATCCATAGTATCGAGGATATGATATGTCGAAAGACGACGCTGTCCCTTTCAAGTACGCATCGTATGGAACGATCCATAATAGAATGAATCGAATCGAATCGAATCGAATCGAATCGAATCGAATCGAATCGAATCGAATCGGAAAGGGCTATATGCGCTTCGTTCGCATCGAGGATCTTTGAACAAATCAACGTTCTCGGGAAAACCTGGAATCTTGGCGGGGTACAGGTGTAGATGTACAGTACGGAACGAAAATTTCATCGGTGAATGCTCACGTGCGTGGCCACAAGATACTCTCGTCTCGCACACTTCGAATCGATTGCTGGACAGCCTATCACACGCCACCTCGAGATCTAAATTGTGTTGGTTTGTTGATACCAAATACAAGGACTGTGGTGAGTGAATCTTTCATCTACCATAGCATCACCTACTTTGGGGGCATCCCAACACAACGTCCGTTGGTTCCAGGGTACTTACCGATAGCAGTTTCGTTGCCGAGCAGTGCCTACAGTACGCTACGCCCTGGGGTAGCAACAATGATGGAAGATTTGATATTCTATTTCGTCGATTCCCCTGCTCCCAGGTGCCAGGAGAGGCATGAATGTAAGAAATTCTTTGAAGACGCGTCCAAAGCATTGACCCAGCATGCAGAGATTACAGTCGACCAAGCTCGTGAGGACCTGACGGTTCTTGCCCAGCGAATCGTAGGTCTAAAAGATCGCTGCTACCGCATTGAGTGGTATGCCAAGTTTGGCTGTGCCATTTTGTTCAATCGAGTCGATGTGTCGACCTTAGTGATTAATGTCATTGGGTTGGATGGTTGGACGAACAAGGTTCATGCTTGGATGGACGGAAGACAAGTTACAGCAGTCCCGGACGTGGCCAATCCTTCCATCAAACCACTGGGTGAGATTTCTCCGGACAGAGTGGAGGAACTGTTCGAGACATTCGCAGAAGTTATGACACAAAGAGCCAAAGAGAACAAAAAACTTCACCACACCTCGGACTTCCTCTGGGCGAGATTTGTCGAGTCCCTTGCGAAGATGAAGTTGGTTCCTGACCGTTACGAACATGCCGAGGAAATGGACTTGCAAGGAGGAAGCTCAGATCTGGGCCGTCATACAGGGTGTCTTGAGCGGAACATTTCGTTCCCTTTGGTTGCATCAGTGTATTGCGCCCTGTTGGAGTCTGATGGTGATAAGAAGCATCGTGCTTTCCACAAGATGCTTTGTGTGTACTATTTGGAAAACCTAAGGTAGGTTGGTGGGTTATCGATCACTACGAGCTGTTTCACCTGTGCCCATCTTAAAAAGTCCTCATCGAACTGTACAGAATCGTTTGCTCCAAGATCACCGACTTTGATAGACGAAAGATCGACCGAGGAGTTGTCATCATTCGGGAAATCAAAAAGGTTCTTGCGTCTCTTGATGACAAACCATTTTGTGAGCATGTTGTGGAGCAAACGGAGCTATATTTTCAAAGGCTGTCGACTTTGCGACCGGAGAGGGATTCTTCAGTTTGTGATCTCCCTCGAATCTTTGAAATCCCAAATGACTGCGGAGCATTGGATCCCTCGTTGTTCCCCGAAGTGTCTGCAAGAAATACAGAAACTGGAGACCACGCATCCCGTATGGCAGCCGCACGGAATGTCGCTAAGCGGAACCTTGGGTTCTCGAACTTGCTTGCGTATGATCCCCAAGAAAATGCGAAAGCACAGGATGTGTGGGTAGCGCTTGGTCGGATCCAAAAATGTTTCTGGAACTGGGCTGGAATTCTCGTCACTGTCGACGTCGATACAAAAGCGATCGTTAGGCTCCTAATGGATCTCCAGCAACAGCATGAGCATGCAACGGCTTCTGTACTTGAGATATGCAAGTCTTGTGGTGCGCATATCTTGTCCGTTGAGCTGAAGAGCTGTCGAATGCTAGTTACGTCGATCGCGTATTGCTGGGCTCATCGGCTCGCGGTTGAGAGATTCCCGCTGTTCAAAAGCTGCAAGCCAGTTCTCGACCCGAAGGATCTGGCTCGTTTAGTTTTGCCAGATTATGAAGCAGATCAAGCTATGCAACACGTACGTCGCTTCCTTCTGCAGAATGGTGAGGGCAGGGTGAAATCACCTTTTCGGAATGCAACGCACACACTAGATCTTGCGCTGGAAGTCGGACGCGTGTCAGACTACTTGAAACGGAGACAGAAAGAGGAACAAGCCAAAGCCTCGGAAAGAATCGACGACCGGTACAGTCGGATCCAGGCGACGCAACGAAAACTCGAGACTCTAGATAATGGTAAGTGACAACTTGTGTGATGCTACACTGCCGTTGCTTGTCGCTACACTCAAACGCTTTGATGTGTTATCATAAAGAGCTTCGTGTTGCCAAGTCTCGTTACGACGATGCTCATCGTAGGGAGCAAGAGTCGAGGCGTCGTGACTACCAGTATCATCATGGGACAAAGGTGTTTAATGCTGCATACTACGAACGTGAACATGCTCGAGTCAATGCTTGGAACCAAGTACTTGAGTTGGAAAGACAAATCAAGAACGAAGAGTGGATCCCTGAGGACACGTTTTTGCCTTTACCGAGAACCGAGAGTTTGGCACTGACAGACTTGTTCTTCCTGTTCATGCCGAAGGAATTCATGTTTGTATTTTCACTCGCTCATGCTGTGGAATCAGAACTGTGGAAGAGAGTGCCGGCAGCGCCGAAACCAAGTCATGACTTGTTGGTTTGGTTCAAACGCTACAGTAGTGGAGCAAGTGGGCTCGTGGACCTCAAGATAATAACACTGGGCACCCACGAAGAGTGTGTCCAGTCTCCACCTGTAAAGAACATTCGTGGATATGGAAGGGAAACAGGTGTCTTCTTTCCAGACTCCTATGATATTGCTCAGTTCTGGGTCGGAAGCGATCCATTTTCATCCAGGCGTGAGGAGGGTGAATCAGAGCACCTCTTCACTTCGGGCCCAACAGATCTTTCTGATCAACACTTGAAGCGATACATGGTTGTGCTTGAGGAAGACCGGAGGTCACGCGGGAACCTAGGAATCGCGAACAAGAGCGAAGCGCCAGACTGGTTGTCGCCCGAGTTTTGGTTGATGTTCACAAGTCTGAGGGCATTCCCACGTAGTCAGTTCCGACAGCTCCTCAGGTCCCTTATTGACAACCTGTTACCGTTTGGCCATCCATGTGTTCATGTCTTGGTCAAGCAGGCGCTCTATCAAGTTGGAGACAAGTGGAAACGAGATCTTGAAAGTGATATGCATGTTCTTGAAAGATTTGCAGAGCAGCTCAATGACAAGGCGGATCAATTCCAAGCACCTCCAAATGATGTTGGCGAGCTGTTATTGTTCGGGACAATTGCCTCCTTTTTAGGTGGGTACGACGGTCGGCACTGTCTTGAAACCTCAAGAAAGTACACCAAAGTGGCTCGTGGGTTGGCTAAAATGGTGGAGGGCGAAATCCAAGAGGACGGCACCGGCAATCCAGATCTCTACGCAAAGCAGGCGAGGCTCTATGCTTGTGCGTTGCTTTCTGGTTCGACTATGGACACCGAGCCTCAGTCTCTCATTGATCTGCTTGAACTAAATGTTATTTTCAACTACAAGAAACAATTCTGTGAGGACCGCCTCGAGTGCGGACTGAAAAGTGCCGTGCAACGCCGAATGGGTGAGAGAATTGCTGCAATTGCAGCGACTGGTGAACTTAATCCAGAGATTCTGACCGGTTGTCTTCGGTTGATTGGTATAAACGCTCCTGATTTGACATGGACGAAGGTCTCCTACGCTGAAGCAACAGACACGGCGTGTTTTGAGGCAGAAGCCGATCATCTTTACTCGATCAACCTTCTCAACGGCACTGTGCTGGTCAATGGCGTTCCTCCCCGATTCCTGCCGCTGTCAATAATGGAACACGAACTCTACGTGAGAACATTTCAAGAACGAACGTTTGAGTGTATTGACGACGAAAGTGGCGACGGTTGCTTCAAGACAACTGGTGCTGCCGGTGATGCTTTTTGTTACAGCTTCAAACTGAGGAAAGGTTCATTGGAGATCACCGAAACCCGTGCCAGTACTGATGGAGAGGACTCGGAAAGGGATATGCTCCAGTTGCTCCCGCGTAAGGTCATGGAGAAGTTGCCAACCCTTCTCGTGGAGCCATTCAGCCATTGGTATTCTCCCTTTCACGATGCCATCTTCTTTCGAGGTGTTCGTTACGAGGACCGAGAGATATCCTATGTCATGACCAGAGATGCCCTCCACAGAATTCCTCCCAGCAAAGTAAGTGGATCACCGGAAGCTGCGATGGCGCTCCTGGAGCACTGTCATAGATTGGTTTTCTCGCCACTCCCTACCTTGCGAATTCTGTCCCGGATCGAGAAATGCGATCATATCCTTGCTTGGGTGGATACCAATGCTTCAGAAGTCACGTACTCGCTGCCGCGCCTCGGCTTAAAGTTCGTTCAACGATCCGAAGTTGTCTTTTCGACAAACTATGAAGGGTACTCCCTGAAAGAGGGTCAGGTTCTCAACGATACTTTGCTTGGAGTGACTTCTTACCTTGTACTGGTTGACAAACTCGATAAAGAAAAAGTGCTGGTTCCGTTTGGCACGGTCACCGAGGGTGGAGATGTGAGTATTCCAGAGGCATGGCACGTCAAGTCTGGCTGCCATACTTTCGACATCCATGGGCGCTTGGGCCATTTGCAAGCATGTTCTATTCTTGCAAGGCTTCAACTTGCTTGCATGTATGCGGCCTCTTCGTACCTCTGCGTCGAAGCTGGCCCCATGAGAACAGGAATGGACATGGCAGTTGAGCTTGTACGTTACTGCTGGACTGATGAAGTGCTCACTGAAGCTGTGCAGAAAAAATTGGAGGAAGTTTGCAGTTGGAGCAACCTCTGTTGCACACTGCAGCTCATGTGTCATTGGGTGTGGAAATCCTCGCGTCGTCTCAGCTTCTTAAATGTGGGTTCTCGAATTCAGTCTGAACCCGAGGAGCTGGCTTTAGTGTTGGATCCTCTTGCGGCGAGAGAGTACACTCAAGACGATTCATTTGCACCAAAGCTCTTGCCCGAAGAAGAACTCTACCTTCTTGGGACTTGCCGAGAGAGAATCAAGCTGAGGTGTCAAGAGCCCAAGCAAGACGATCGGTTCGATGAGCACGGGAGTACACGTACCAGTGCTTTCGTCAAAAGGGTGGAAGCTGTTCTCGAGGGAAAATGTACTCTAACAAGACCTTCGGGCAACTCAGAACGACCATTTCCGCTTGACTTGCCAAGAGAGGAAAAGGACGGTTTGGAAGGTCGCCTTGATCGCGAAAGTTGGAAGGCGTTTTGTTCCCTGGAAGATTCCCAAGGCTTAGTTGGTTCAGAGACTGTACAAGTCTGCGAAAAGTTGCTGATGGAGACCAAGCACAAAAGGGAAGGCACAGAACAGGAAATTCTTGAAACCATGAATCGACATGATTCTTGCCTCGATCGAATGGCCATAATGTCCGGTGCAATCCGCCGTGCTTGTCGTCGTGACCTACTGTCTCTTGCCCTTGACTCATCTGCTCTTCAGTCCATCAATCCATCGGTTTCAGAGGAAAATACAAAGAGCTTGCGCGTTCGAATTCATGATTGGATGCTGCTTTGTGTGCTAGAGGACAAGCTGCGAAGAGTGCAGCAAGTGGCCACTTGCAACCCTAACGAGGTTCTGGAGGAAGCCAGATGCAAACGAAACTGGGACTCGAGGCAACACATCGAGTGGCTTGTTTTTGAGGTGGAACAGGAATTACAGATTAGGCCATTTCAGTATTCGATTGTCAAGCAGCTTTTGGAAAACAATCACACCATGATTCAGCTCAATATGGGCCAGGGAAAAACCAGCGTCCTCGTCCCGATGCTCCTTCTTGAACTTGTCAATACATCCCAAGATGTGATTCGAGTGAATATGCTTTCTTCTATCATTCATGTCGCCAAAGAAAAGTACAAGGCAATGCTGCAATCATCGGTGCAATATTTGAAGATTAGGACACTCCCCTTTACACGGAGCGCCCCCCTTGACAAACACCATCAAGAAATTATTTCGCAAGAATTGACTCGGTGCGGCAAGGAGAAGTGCTGCGTGCTTGTCACACCTCAAGATCGCAACTCCCTCTTGATGAAGCAATTCGACGAAGATGGCATGCACGTTCACGGCTTGAAAAGCAACCGCTTTGTGGATATTATTGACGAGAGCGATGTAATTTTGCATCATTCTTTCCAGCAGACGTATGCCGTTGGTTGTCAAGTGAATCTCCCTGATGGCGCCTCAAGGTGGAATGTGATTGAAGCCCTGCTCCTAATCCTTTCGGAGAGCCCTTGTCCTGAAATCAAAGATGCAAGGGAAGATCGTTCGGCAGTGCACAAGGCAGTGTCGGAAGTTGGCACGTTTCCCAAATTGCGGCTCTTACCAGGCTTTGACTGTCACATGGAGGACGTCAGAAAGGCACTGTGTCGCGAGCTCATCTCGAACCCCCCTTACGAACTTCAATGGATGGCACAATTGAGCAGTGAGAAGGTTGATCTTCTTGTTGCCATCATGTCTGACCGCGAGATGAATGCCTGGAACATAATCGAGTCAGATGAGTTGTTCCTCGACAACCGAGGTCACATCCTTGCTGCTAGAGGGTGCATTGCCGGTGGATTGCTGTTTCATTGCTTGAAGGCGCGGCATCGGGTGAAGTATGGAGTTGATCAATGTAGGCGGAAGATGGCCGTGCCCTTTATTGCAAGTGATACGCCCTCAGCCAGATCAGAGTTCAGCCAACCTGACGTCGCCATCATATATACGTATCTGTCCTACTATCATGATGGATTGTCAATAAATCAACTGAAGGAGGCCTTGGTTCAGTTGCAAGCGCTGGGACCTATGGTTCAAGCAAAACGATTTTCTTCTTGGATTGATGTTGTTCGGAGGAGCATTGCTGTTTCTGATGCTCATGTAGAGAAGGTGAAAAAATTTGATAGCATTGAGAAAGTAGACCCTGGCAACAGGTTTCAGCTGGAATTGATGCATCCCTATTTGTTTCGCTCCATGAAGGTTATCTCTTTTTGGCTTGACACTGTTGTATTTCCCAGGGAAACGAAAGTCTTTCCCCAGAGTCGATTTTCGTCTGCTTGGAACCTCGTCGACGAAGGGAGTCAGATGGGCTTTTCTGGAACTGACGACAACCAGTACTTGCTGCCTTTCTTTGTGGAGCAGGCTGTGCAGGAAGAGCCAGAGCTGCTGGCTACCAATGGCTTGATGATTGACCGCATCTTGACGTGCACAAATGGCGTGGAACTCCTTCCCCAAGATGAGAACGGTAGGCTTTGGCAGGCAATCTTGCAGAAGTGCTTGGAAGTCGAAGCTCGTGCTTTGATAGATGTCAGTGGGCTCATGGCTGGCATTGAAAACAGAGCCGTTGCAGAAGCTCTCGCAGAGCTGCTCGAAGAACAGTCTGAATTCCGTGGTGTGCTGTACTACGATGTTCCTTCGCGTGCGTGGAATGTGGTGGAATTCGACAGCACAACGCGTAATATTATGCCTCTTCAAGTCTCCAGCCTTTGCGAGGCGGAGTGTTTTGCATACTTTGACCAGAGCAGATGCCGAGGGGCCGACTTGAAGCTTCGATCTGATGCTCGTGCCGTGGTCACCCTGGAGCCGAACCTTACAAAAGCCCGCTTCTTGCAGGGGTGTGCGAGGATGCGCAAGTTGCGTCCTGGAGAGCAATCGTTGATCCTTGTGGGCACAGAGGAGACCCTGAATGTGTCCGCGACCGTGAAAGGTATCCTGGAGCTGACTATCCGAAATACTGTCAAGGAAAACAAAAAGGGAATTCTTGAGTTGTATGAACGAGGAATGAAATACAAGAAGTTCCCTGATGCGATGGATGTGGATGTGGCGCTCGAGGTTCTGTATGGAGGGCCGATGAAGAGTTATTCCTCCATGTCGGATTTCTTGGACGCCACAGTGGAATGCGAAACGGATAAGTTTGTGAGCGAATTGGTAGATTTTTGTAAGTCGAATGGAGAAGGACTCATTGTCCAAGGATCCCAGCTCACCGACGAGTGCGAGAGAGAGTTGGAGGATGAAAAAGGAAAAGAAAAAGAAGAGGAAGTGGAACTTCCCAGCGTTGAACCTTACGAAGAACGAGACTGGAGATTCGACAAAGCATTTTCGTCGGGCATCCTAGGCCCCGGAGTGTTCAAAATCTCTAGCGCTGTTTCCGTTCCTGGTGTTCTGTGGAGCGGCGAAGTGTTGTGCACAGAGAACTGGAAGAACACAATCAAAACCGCTGGACAAGGCAGTGATTTCTATCTCCGTCCGGTGAATTCATTTCTATCCCTTCCGACTGGTAAAATCGTTTTGATCTCTGACTACGAAGCCGAGCGCTTGCTCCCGTACTGGTACAAGGCCAAGAACTCTTCACGGATCCGGCTGCAGCATCTTGCCTTATTTTCTGCAGGTATTTGGCTGGGCGGAGACCAAGTCGAATTGCCAGCATCTGTACGCACTTCTGTCAAGTTCTTCCGTGGCTATGTGTCATTCGAGGAGGACGAGAAACGTGCCTTGGAAAGCCTGTTTGTCAGGAGAAACCCTCGGGAATCCATCCAGAAATTGTTGGAGCTGAGGTACAGAGAGCAGTTCATGGATCGAAGCGACTTGGACACGTTTGTTCGCCGTCGTGGCGGCTGACTGAGCTTCTAATGACTAGTAACTATCTAGGCGTTTGAGCTTCTACTAAATATATCATACCGTAGCTGTTGCCCTAGTCAAAGCCTCACTTATGTCTTCGTGGAACAGATCCCTCAAAGGCAAGCCCTTTGGCCGAGATGTTGTGGTCCTCGATTACATGTATTGTTGCCAATCCGAAGGGCAGTTTTTTAGAAAAGACTTTGGAAGACAAAACTATCGGTGTGAATACATCCTCACCGGCTTATTGAAACGCCGCAGTAGTTTACGGGACCAAACTGCTTTGGAGACACTGCGAAAGGCTGCGTCCATTCCATTCCTCTCATCTCAAGTGCCCATTTGAATCAATCAGCGAGGCGTTGAACGACTAGAAAGGTCCTTGTGCATCAGTTGACTTGTCTGGGAGACGACCCAAGCCAAGCCAAGGCAAACCAAGGCAAACCCAGCTATCGGTACCAGCTATTGTATCGAGAGTGCTACGTTTGGGGTTGGTTGCTCGTCATGGATTGAAGAGCGGAGTAAGAGATACACTGTAAATCAACAGCCACGTTAGAAAGAGCACAACAATTTACTACCACTAATCATCATGGACACTGGGGAAACGATCGATTCTCTTCGGGTCCATGTCCGTCGTGGACTGGACCGTTTCTGTATGGGTCTTTACTTTACCGAGTATGGATTACAAGAGACGAGTGTATTGATTCCGGACGACGCGGATCCTGAGAATTTGGAGTCTTGTGGTTTGATGGACAAGAAGAGTCCCTTTCAAGTGTTTCTCAAGGCGGTCGCTTCGGAGATTATCAAGGAAAAGGGAGTCACCAAGGGACGCAAAAAAGCCGTCAAGGAATACTTGGAAATTCTGCAGGCGTTTGCCGGTGAATGGGTCGAGTACATTCGAAAGAACATGCGCAAAAAACTTCAAAACAAATCCTCCATTTTGGGAAGTCCCGACGGCAAGTTTCATCCGGCATCTCCCGATCCTCATCATGGCGACGTTCATGGCGACAACAAGAAGAAGAAGGGAGGCAAGAGAGGTCCTCGTGGTCCTTATAAAAAGCGAAAACAAAAGGAAACTCCACTCCCATTCAACAGCCCCACTGCCAGTAGTCACAACAGCACACCCAGTCCCACCAAAAAGACCAAAGCACGGCCCACCGACATGGAAACTGCCAGACGGGAATTTGAAGCCGAAAAGACAGATGTCACCAGCAAAATCCCAGAAAAAAACAAGAGACTCTTCAACCAAGTTGGATTTGCAAAATGGGGAAAAATCAATTTGCCCGCCATGATCCTAAACCCATTCAGTGTGCCGCCAGGGGATATTAGGGATCAGTGGATGAAAATGTTTCAAAATGTAAGTACTCCTAGTACATACAGGACTCCTCTCTTCTCAAACTTACTTACTTATCCATTTTGGGATGATGATCTAACCCTGCTTCGGTTCCTTTCGCTCCATCCCATAATCATCCAATGTTCAATCAATTCAACGCAACAATCCACATATACATATACACAGGTCGTTGAGAAGGACAGAATAAAGAAAATGGGTCATCTCGTGTGGTGGGTTGGACCGCAAACAGATGGACAGAGTTCCTACTCGGTCGTGCCCAGTCACGGCTTTATTTCCTACGAAGAAGCCACCAAGAAAAATATGCACGAATTGCCATCCAAAATTAAGAGACTGCTAGAACGGGGAAAGGATCTGAATAAGCAACAACAGGAAACCATGGAAGCCCTACGAATCTTGAATGAGTTGGCGTTGGTGGAGCCTGATGACCGTGAGCATCCAAGATCGGATTTCATGGAAGAAGACTACTGGGGATTTGACGACGATGAGGAAGGAGGAAACGAAGAAGAAGAAACAGAGGATGTCAAACCGGCAGCTGTGGAACCCGCTAAGACTAAGAGAGATGACGACGACGACGAGGACGGCAATCAAGAGGAAGACGAGGAGCTTCTCGATGATGAAGAGGACTTGGTGGAAGCCGAAGCAAACAAACCAGTCAAGAAGAAAAAGGGCAAAAAGCGAAAGAAAGACACTGTGGTGGACGAAGAAGGCGAAGAGGATCAAACCGAAATAATCTACGATGATATCGAGGAAGCCACACCGGCACCGCCGCCAAAGAAGAAGAAGAAAAAGGACAAGACTAAACTGGAGCGGGGCAAAAAGAAGAAGAAAAAGAAAAAGTCCATGGATGGCGGTGAAGCAGGGGATGCTGAGATACAGCAACAACCGTCCGACGAACAGCAAAACGATGCCACAATGGCTAATAGCGGGGAGCAAGACGTTGAAATGGCCGATGCAGGTCAAGCGGACACCGCCGCACAGCAACAACCGGGAGAAGACGAACACGAGGCCGACGGGGTGGCAGCTCTGGCTCCGGCAATATCCAAAGATGAGGCGCTGTTGGAAGAAGCAGATAGCCAATCGGCGGAGAGTGCAGACAGCGACTACGGTGGCGATGACACGGATGAGCTGCTTGGTTCCGAAGATCCAACAGCCAGCAAGAAGAAATCCAAGAAGATGAAAAAGAAAGGTGCTAAGAAGAAGGGCGAATCAAATGACGACGATGAGAAGATGAAAGGAAAGGGAAAGAAAAAGAAAGATAAGAAAAAGGACAAGCCGCCGAAGGAGCCCAAGAAACGGACAAAAGCCGCGGAACAGCGTGACCTCGAGAAATGCGAAGAAGAATACCTACCAATCATCGAGGAACTGCAGATGGCGAACGAGATGAAAGATGCTTCGTTGATTCAGCAGGTTCTGGAAGCACTAATACCCGTGGCCGAGTCTTTTTGTGCGTCATTCTTCAGCGAGTACGAGATTCCGCAATTGATGAAAGCGACCAAGAAGGTTCTCGAGGAGACCGAAGGACCAGACTTGGCAATCTACAAAAAGCTGTGGAATATCATGAAAGAGGTTTATGGTGCAAAGGTCAAGCTGATGCCCGAAGGATTCAAGGCAAAGAAGTGTACCAAGGCCGCCAAATCGAAGCAATCCGACAAAGCAGAGGACGGACAGCCGACAATTGGCAGTGCAGTAAAGGAAGAGATTGTTGCATCAGCTCACTCCACACCGCTTCAGCGACCAGAACCAGCTGTTGTGTCGGCATCACAGGAAGCTGCAACTCCTGCAACACCGGCTGTGAAGGCCGCATTCAAAGACGATGCTAGACGAATTTCATCCGGTGGTGATCAGCAGCAAGCGCCCAAGACGGCCGAGAAAGCTGCACCGGCCAAGCCAAAACCAAAGAAATTCTCTGTCATGGACTTTACGAACAAGAAAAAGGATAACAAGCGTGCGTCTGTTGGTGGGGGTGCCGACAAAGTCGTATCATCGACTATGGTTGGCAGCGCAACGAAGAGGAAAACAGCTCCTTCATGGGTCACAGCGCCTCTTCCAACTCAATTCGACAACTTTGCCAGTTGCCCCAGACGCGAAGATCGGCTATTTGCCATGGAGTTTCTCCTGCAGGCAGCAGCCCACTTTCCCAGCAATAAGGGTGTCAACGAAGAATCAGTGGCTCGGTCTCTAGAATTGGCAATCTACGAATGGTCAGAACCAAAGAGCAATTGGTCAGAGGCGTACTGGGACAAGATTCATGCGATTGTTGCGGCGCTGACAGGAAAGCGGGAGTTGGGCACTCTGATCGGAATGATCATGGATGGGGCGTTTGCCTCTCCGAAATCTGTCGTCGCGCTCTCTGTGGAGAATCTCGAGCACTCGTTTGAAGGCCGACCTCTGTCCTTGAGTGGAGAGTAGCGATGAAGCAGGGCGTTTATTCATTCATCCATCCATTGTCTCTGCACAAGTAATCCTCGGCTGGCAGAATTCTGGGAGCAAGCAATTCTGCTTATGAGCCGTACCGGTAGCTAGTGGCATGTCCTTCATGAGTACATGAATGTATTTGCACGCAATTTTGTACCGTAGCATCTTCATCGTTGAGGGTTCTGGTAGCGCAGTGGATAGAATAGAATCGAATCATTCACCAGACGAACGGCAGCACATCCAGCGTACGGTACAGGTCGATGCGTGCTTTGAAGTGCGGTAAAGCCAAAGCAAGGAGCAGAGATGTGGCTTTGGCAAGCCAGAGTACGTCTCATGGAACGACGTTACGACGTAGTCTCTACGATGTGCATCGCTCTCGACGAGAAGGCCATTGTGCCACAACGTATGCGGGGAACTGTATCGGTACTGGAGTAAGTGCTGTTATCAACAAGGACAACTAACTATACATTTGGGTTCACTTCATTTCCCGATGGGTCGTATAGGATAGGCTTCATTTGTTCGATGTCAATGTCCACTGTGCAACCCAGAGCCTTCATAAATCCGTTGTGGTTGATATAGAGCTTGGGTAGGCCATCATCCATGCTATCCTTGGGTGGCTTTGGAGTACCGTCATCAAGCAACTCAAGAGACACACTGGCGAGGGGGGAAATAAGTATTAGAGAGACAGAACAAGTGAGTGATTATTGCGTGCTTGACAGTTTCCCATCCACTTGATTGGCGTACCCTTCATCATCCTCGGCTATCTGATCTTGGCTTACAAAGTCAAATGAGAAAACCATGCGAGGTTGGCCGCTAGATGCCTGATCATAGTTCAGCATTACACCTGGTAGATCCTCAACAGGGCAATGTGGTAAGTAAGTATTGATAATATTTCGACAAAATATGCCAGAAGACTGGAATTCAATTCAGATCATCATGATTGATGATTGCAAGCGTACGTACCTACGATATCAGGTCTTGGTGGATTTTCCAACAGCAACTTGAAGAATTTTCGGGCCTTGTCGGTCAGTTTGACTGCTGCCTTGGGTGGAACGAATTTTCTTCGCTTGGACTTCTTCACCGCAGTAGTCGTTGCGGATTCCTTGGAACTGGTGTCGAATGGAGAAGACCATGGGTTGCTCGTACTGTGAAAATGCACTGTCTTGGCTGCATTCGTCTGGAGAGAACGGTGTCGATGCTGCAAGCCATTCGAGTAGTTGGTTCCAAGGAATGTGCTCAATGCACGAGATCCGGTCGGAAGTGCCTTTCCCAACCCTCTGGACGCTGTTCTATCCAACACCGTCAATGAAAGACTTGTCAATGGCTTCATGCTTCAATGTTCTGCTACCTGATACTTTACTTCTACCGGTATGTCGTCTTTGCACGCAGAATGAAGAGAATGATGGCCGTCGAAGAAACTCGAGGGGGCGGCGTGGGATTGGGATCGAAGTCTTTGGTGGTTTTATTGCTAACCTTAAACATACGTTTAAGGGAAAGGGGATTTTGCTTCGTGACAGACGAGTCACGGACATGGAAAAACGTGCTTGTCGTTGAAGATCGAAGATCGCGACCTTTGTTTGTTTTCAAGCTCTCTTTGCCGAGACGCAAGCAACAGCCCAAGGGAAAGCTCTTCTTCTTGCTGCCGTATCAGCATCCGCTCCGAGTACAATCTCTCTAGCATTGCCAATTCAACTCAATCAAGACACCACCATGAAGCTCTCCACCATCATTGCTCTTTTGGCTTCTGCCAGCTCTGCCGCTGCCTTTGCCCCTTCCAAGAGCGCCTCTACCAGTTCTTCTCTTGATCTCACCAAGGCCGAAATCTTGAGTGAGCCCAACACAATTGAATTCGGAAAGGTCTGGGACCCTCTTGGTTTGTCCGAAATGGGATCTGATACTACCCTTGCTTGGTTCAGGCACTCTGAGGTCAAGCATGGCCGTGTCGCCATGGCTGCTTTCGTCGGTTGGTGGGCCGTTGGTGCCGGACTTCGTTTCCCCGGAGAGCTGGCCTACGGACTTGACTTTGCTTCCGTCCCCTCCAAGGGACTTGATGCTTGGGAAGCTGTCCCAGGATGGGGAAAGGCACAAATGCTCATCTTTGCTGGTTTGATCGAGTTCCATGATGAGCTCTGGTACAGCCAGAAGAGCACTCACTACATGAAGGGAGGTGTCCCAGGAAAGGTAAGCATCGCCTCGTCATTATCAGTTGGGATGTAGACGGCTGACTTGGTCTTGAGACTCACCGTGGTTGTCTCCTTTTCCTACAGTGCATGTGCCCTGGAGTCTTTGATCCTTTCAACTTGAGCTCCAAGAAGGGAGAAGCAGCTCTTGCCAAGGGACGCAGCGCCGAAATCAAGAACGGACGTCTTGCCATGATTGGCGTTGCCGGTATGTGGGCTGCTGCCACCCTTCCAGGCTCTGTTCCTCTGCAGCCCGATTGCTAAATGGCTTGGCGGCTAGCTAGCTGTACGGCATCGCATTAGAAATAAATGCGATGCTGTACGGAATGCCGTTTGTGGGGTTGTACCTGATGGCTACCTCAATTGTTGGTAGTAGAGAATGGAACAGCAACGCCTCCTTTTTATACTGTAATGACTATAGATTTCTCCAGCAGTAGATAATATCGGTCCTGGGTAGACGTGTAATAGTATGGAGCTACAATGGACCTTCACGGCGAGGCACTTGAAGGAAAGCATCCATAGATCCCCAATTTATCACGTGTTGTGCATTGACCACAGGCAACAGCCGTGGTCGAAAGCACAAGTCTGAGGGCAGGGAACTGTCCGTGATCTATGGTATCGTGGCCAGGGATACATCGAGGCACACTGTTTCAAAAGGAGATATGCAGAGATGCAATTCAGCCAGTGGGACAGCAAGTAACCTCCACGCCCTTCTTGGGTGATGAGTCACATTCTTGCTGGACAGGTCGAGGTGAGGTCCTACAAGCTAGACTATGGTAACCCTGTAGTTGTAAGCACTGCTACTAGATAGGACTTGACCCTGAAGCCCGTTCTACTCTTTGCTGCGAGGATGTTTTTCTTTTTAGCCCAATGTAATGTAACCCTGTCGCTCTGTGGCGAGTTTGAGGTGGCCAATCATTCTCGAGGAGATGCGACATCTGATTATTGTGCTTTTTGTATTCCTTCTGATAGGAACTCATAGTGGATCAAGACTCTCGCCACAATGCAAAGAGCCTTCCATCGTGCTGTTGCTGCTTCTTCATTGACCTTGACCATTTCTTGTCCGTGTATTTCCAATACGGCATCCCAAGCCGATTTGAAACCATCTTCATCTTCTTGTGGATCTGGAATCAATGCTTCTACTTGTCGCAAAATCTCGTCATTTGTCAACACCCGAATTTTGGGTGGATCTTGCTCTTCTTCTGCGGCTGTTGCAACGAGGTCCCGGACAATCTGTTTTTGTTCCGAGGTGGCAATGGGGACACCGTCATTCTTCTTATCGAGTGGATATTCTTTGAGAACTGCACACAGAAGCTCTTCCGTGTCGTCATCCTCTTCCAAGTCATCCAACAATTCTTGGAGGAATTTCCAACGATCAAATCGATCCGACTGGTCCCATTTTTCTATCAGTGGGGAAGTCACACTGTCGGTGGATTGAGCAGCGGATGAGGAAATTTCGTCGTTTTTGCTGGTGCTATGGAGACAGTGAATCCTTGGATGTGTATATCTATTTGGTGTATGATGTCCCAATGCAGCTGTGGACGAAACCCCGATTTTTCGCATTGCCCTTGCTGTTGGAAAGTCATGTTGAACCACCCACCCATTGGTAAAGGGAAGAAAGGAAAAGCCCAAGCAAAATGCTATTACCTGAAGATCCCTCATCGATTTCTTGCCTTTGGTGGTTCCTTACACTACGTTGTCGCCTTGGTCCAAAGAGCTCTGTTACAACCAAAGTAAGTGTAACGATGCAACGAGCAACCAGAAAATGTCAGACACCGACAACAGACAACAGGGGAGAGTTGGGAAAAAGTGAGAGGTGCATGTCAATGACGTCAGCGTTGAAGAGGTGTGCGCCTTCAAACTTAGTCACGAATTGCTGAAGCCAATAAAACACTCGGGACTCAGGACCTTTTTCTTTCTTCTCGATCTTTCGACTTATGCATAGTTTGGAGGTCGCCGCCATTTCTTTGCTGGCTTTCGTGCTACAGTACTAGAAGAGTATCACCATGACATCTTTAGCTTCCAAGAACAGCATGATCATTACGACGACAGGTCTGAGTAACAACAATAATGTGTTCAAGACCTCCCTGCAGCTCCAAACGGCCAAGCCCACCACGTCTTCGATTCGAGCTGGATTGGCCCAAGCACAAGTCGCCTTGGCTAAGAAGAAATCGGATGAAGATGACACCTTCGGCTATACAGAGTCGGATCCGAACGAAGCTCGCTATTGGATGAACCACTATGGATTGGGGACTCATCATTACAGCCGTCCACAACGACAATATGCTCATCCGCGCAAGCTGCTGCTCAAACCAACGGCTCAAACCTCCATTGTCCAACAAGTGGTCTTTGGACCAGCCGCTACCACGGCCACTACCAAATACGCTCCACTTGCTGTGGTGGGTGGACCACGAGTGCATCTCTACGGAACCAACGCTGTTTCGGCATTTACTCGACATTTGGCTCGTCACAGGGCAGGTCACGACAGTCCCATCACCACCACCACAGTGGCAGCCGATCGACACGTCCAAACGGGAGGCCACTTGGCTCTGGCGGCCAATTTTCGAAACGATGGTCGATTGTTGGCAGTGGGAACCGATGTGGGAGAAGTACGAATCTGTGATGTCACCATGAGAGCCACGCTCTCTACCTTTTGCACGCCCAATACAAAGTTGCCCATGCGAGTTGTTGTGTGGTTTCGAAATGGACAGCATATTTTGAGTGGCGGAGATGACGGAGTCTTGCGAGTCTGGAGCTTGTCAGCCTCCTCGGGTTCCATTGGAGCCGGAGGAGGTAATAAGGCAAGTACGGCCTTGTTGGAGTTGATGGGTCATGGAGATTCCATTCGAACCGCCATTTTGTGGCAACAACCGGCATCTGCACTCAAAAATGCTACGACAGCTGCGTGGAATCAGCTGGCGTTCAGTGGAAGTTATGATCACTCCATTCGAGTTTGGAATGTGCAAATGACTGACGATGAACAAGACGAAGATGGACAAGAGGATCGTTGTCTGTCCGTATTGAGTCATGGAGCACCCGTCGAATCATTGTTGACCATGGCATCCACTGATCCAAATGTCCCCGTCTGGTTGCTCTCGGCAGGAGGAACCACGGTCAAAGTATGGAATCCACTCACCGGGGAGTGTGTTTGCACTGTGGCTACACAACATCGAAAGACCATCACGTCCCTGCTTCCCGTTTTGAGGGCCCCCAAAAACACAACCAACAACACTGACATTGTGCCTGCGTGGCGTGTGGTGACGGGGTCGTTGGATGGATGCATTCGCATCCATACATGGGACAGCTCCACTGGAAAGCTCGAACACATTCATGGAATTCAAGTGGGCACGGCCACGCCCATTACGGCTCTAGCTGTCGACGAAAAAGGAGAACGACTCGCCATTGGCACCACCGAAGGGACGGTTCATATTCGACAAAAAGGTCCCAGTATCACACAACACAAGAGCAAGCGACCACCTCCGGCAGGAACCTATGCCTTTTTCACTCGAGGGGCCAATGCCACGCTTGATATTGGCAACAATGATTACATTCTCGGAGCCGGCCCATCAGCGACCAAGAAACGCAAACTACAAAAATACGATCAATGCCTCAAGCAATTCAACTATGGTGAGGCACTCGATGAAGCTTTGGAGACTCGCAATCCACAAGTAGTTGTGGCTGTCTTGGAGGAATTGGGTAAACGACGTGGACTGAAGATTGCATTGTCCAGTCGAGATGAAGAGTCCCTGGAGCCGTTGTTGTCGTTTTTGGTTCGCTATGTAACTCGGCCTCGCTTTTCCAGTGTCCTCATTGGAGTGTCCCACATGCTGATTGACATCTATAGCGATGTAGCGGGTCAGTCCGAATTGGTGGATGAACTCTTTGGCAAGTTACGAATGCAGGTCCGAAATGAGTGTCGCATGCAGCGGGGTCTCTTGAGGCTGCTGGGTCAGATTGATGCCGTCGTGGCAATGAAGCCTGGTAGTGATGGCGGTGGTCCCTAATCGTTAGATAAGAAGGGTTGCAAAACTTCTAAATTGCATCTAGCTCGTCGCTCTATTAATAGCTACTATAGCTAGACTGGTGGAGGAAATGAACTTAAAAATGTATTTGAAGCGTACAGTGGGAATTCAAAGTGGCCACCAAACTGGCCTGGCATCTCCATCTGCGTAGATAAATCTCCAATGCCATACAGGGTTTAAGAGCAGGATTGGCGCTGTCATGCTGACGGCAGCAACGTTGGCTGGTGGTGGAAGACTGATATTTAGGATAGTTGAGGTAAATGAAAACTAATAATTTATTGCTTAAACAAATTGAGTTTACCGCAGCTTCCTGACTAAGAACTGTCTTGTTCGGCGTTCGGTGGGTGGCAGGCACCGTTGAATGAGACGCCGCCTTTTCGAACGACGACAATGGTCAACAAGCGACTGGCGGTTGTGCTTCGGTTTGGAGAGTGCATGTTCCTCTGCAAACAAGAACTCTTGCTTTCTGTGATAGAGCATACTGGTGCCAACATAGTGAATACATGTACATGACATCATAGAACAAAAGAACAGCTAAAACAAGATGGGCGCAAACTGCAGTGCAGACGACCGAAGGTTGGATGGGAACGTCGACCATGGCGCTCGTTCCTTGGGCGCCTCTTCCTTGGTGACGCTGACGGAGGACCCAATTCTGTTGGAAATGGGGTTCAGCTCGCAAGTGTCACGATTGTATGATGTCATTGAAGTTCTGGCAGAAGACGAAGAGGTGGGGTCGCTCTTCAAAGTGAGAGTGCGCAACATGTTGCTTCAGGAACGGTTCGGCAGTGTCAGCCGGAACGGCAAGGTGATCGCTCCCAGTCCGGACAACAACAACAGCAACAACAACAAGAATGCCAACAGCAAGGGAGCTACGAAAGAGCTTTCGACACGGACGGCTGGTTCCTCTTCCAGTGATGGATTGAGCCACAGAACCTATCTATTCAAACAGATCCTTACCAACAATCCAGTGGTACTGCTGCGCTGGTTTCAAACCATTGAATTGTGGCAAAGGCTCGAACACCCCAATCTACCTCGTCTCGTGGACGTGCATGAAGACGAACATCCTTGTGGTAGTTCCAAGCTGTCAAACGACAAAACCTTTAGCAGTGTCTCGTTTGTGATGGAACACTGTGAAGGCAAACCCATTTTAGAACGTTCCAGGTTTTACACCGAGTCGCAAGCCCGCAAGATTTTACGACAGATTCTAGATTTGATCAAGTACCTGCACTCTCGAAACATTGTCCATGGTGACTTGCAAGCCAAATGGTTTCAATTTGAACAGGCGGATCCCAAGCAATGGAAGATTCAATTGACGGATTTTTCCATGGCGCATCCAGTAGAACCAGGAACTGGTGCAGCAAACACTTCTTTTCTACGGATCATGAACGATGACTTTGAAGTGGGCATGTACTCGCTAGCACCCGAGGTGTTGCTCAGTGGTAGACCACACAGCCCCGCTGGAGACATGTGGAGTATTGGGATCATCCTGTATCAGATGCTGTCGGGAAGGCAGCCGTTTGGTGACAGCGCAGAGGCATTCATTGAAAATATGAGAGTTGGAAGCGCGCCACCGACATTTGAGGAACCCGAGTGGAAACGGGTGAGCTCTTCGGCCAAGGATCTGATACAAAAGCTTCTCAATCTAGAGCCCAATGCACGGTTGACAGCAGAACAGGCTCTCAAGCACGGTTGGTTTTCATCGTTGTACCGGGGACTCTCTTCTATCTCTTATCATGGGTAGTCGAGATGGATAGTTGTGCAGATAGGGGACAAGATGTGTGTACTGGTACTACAACGTAGTAAGCCAAACCAGGTCGTGTACGATAGAACAGTGTTGCGGAATTTCGCAAGATCAAGTCTCTTTTGGGTACCGTAGGTCGAGCCAAGGGGATACGTTTTTAGAGAAAAATCGGCAACCACTCTGTATTGAGATCCTTTCAAATCATCGACTGCACACGAGCTCGTTCTGGAGGCACATGTGGTACCTAGCACCTCCAACACAACCTCAACGGCATCGTCACAGGCAGTCAGCCAACCGACCTACCGATAGAAACCTCGGCTCTGAAACGGATTCAGACAAAATGTGCAAATCGAGGCTCTCGAGTCCCCTCACCTCGTTCCAGAAACTACTTCATGAAGTCGATGACCAATACCTTATCTTTTATTAATGGAATAATGAATGCAATATGCACGCAATACGAAGTAACAATATCGACAGCCTTCACTTCCAACCGGGCACCCACCAATCACCCCACCTGTTCCTCAGTTAGGATTTGCTTGCGAGTGGCCCATTCGTTCCCAAACGCGATCCAGAAACTGCTTCTCGTGTGATGTCTGTTGTTTCTCTTCTTCTCGCAGTTGTCGCAGCACTTTCTTGGCTTCGGGAGGGCAAAGGTTGCAACGACACAGGTGATCGTACAGGTCCGCAACGCGGACTGGGAGCGTCCTTCGTCGGGCCGGAAAGACTCGGCTCATGCCAAATCGACCAGCCTGCGAGCAGTGAATACAGCCAAAACCAGGCAGACCACATCGCAAACTCTTGCGGTTGCCTTTCCGCTCGGAGGGCAACAACTCAATGCGCTGAAAATGCGACATGACGTTGAAGAGAAAGGCCGAGGCATACTCGCGGTCCGCAGGCTGGACCAGTGCCACGGGTTTGCCATCGTCACCGAGCGGAACCGGCACTTCTCCGGCAACAGCGCCAAACGGGGGAATGACCTTGGCAGCCGCACGGGTATTATCGTTCATGAGCATGCCATCTTCCGAGTCGACCATTCCAAGTTTGGCTGCCGAATAGCTCCAATACTTCTTGGCTTCGGTGGCACCCTGGCATGTAGAGCTCTTGAGACACAAGTAGCGCCGCTTGACATCGTCGGGGATACAAGCACACGTGTCAAAATGCTGTAATGGAGGAACATGGAAAAGAGATGCCGTGTGTTAGTATCCAATTCAGCAGTCTGTTGGTGCGACAGTTTTGAAACAACTTACATCGCGAAGCATCATTGTGAAGCTCTGGTAGAGCTGGGGGATGGAGGACGGAAAGGCCGAGGAACGCTGGGCACGAGAGCCAGGAGGCTTGTGTGCACAGAATCGGCATCGGATCCCCACTTGCTCCAAAGAAACTTTTTTGCTGGCGTTGCGGACAGCCACATCTTCTCGGTTGGCCCAGCAAACTTCCAACAAGTTCTTTCGGACAAAGCATTGGAGCTCTGACAACCAGTTTGGATCCTGATCAATGGAAAGATCGATGCAAACGCGGTTACCGGTACCGAACAGAGGCTGTTCCTGATCTTCTGTTGCCCCATTGCCAAGCGTGAGTTGGGGCTTGGAGGGAGAAGATGGAGGAAGCTTGGCCTTGTCGCCGGCGGAAGCGGGTTCATGGCTGTGCCTTCGGGGCAACATTTCGGGCGATTGGCGTTCGGGGAGAGGGAGTGCTCGTGGGGGGCAGTTCATCATGGGATTGAAGGATGTGGCCGGAGACGGCATTGGACAGTGCATCATGGGATTGAAGGATGTGGCCAGTGACGGCATGGCACCAGCAGCCCCGAGGCCAAAGGGTGCTGAGGGAGCATAGGCGAGGCTTTCGAGGTAGTCAGCGCGTCTGCGAAGCGCCGCGGCCGCGGAAGAAGGCGGAGGAGGCCTCCCCATGAAGTCCATGGGAAGTGGTCCCCCGAGGAATGGCGAGCCATAGAATGGGGCCGCTGCCATGGGGGCTCTTCCGTACATCCCAGTCAAAGACGACTGTTCCATCGCCAGAAAGCGGTTGAATGCCACATCCGAAGCGCTAGAAAACGGCGGGTAAGGATCAAGCACGGAAGTGCGGCCCTGAGATGGCATCGGTTGAGCGGGCAGAATCCGATGATGTCCTTGTGTGGCCGCCATGATCATTGATTCTGCAGCCGCGATGGATTCTGGATCTTGACTCCTTGCCCTCTTGTTCATTCTTTCTTCATCGTCGCTATCTGGCGGGTCAAGGGAACTGCGCTTGTTGCCATTGCTGCCCAGCAAAGATTTTTGCTGACCTGCAAAGGATCTGCCACTGGGCGAGGGAGGAGCACCAGGGCTTCCACTTCGAGAAGCACCGCCCAGTGCTCCAGATTCCACAGAAGCGTAAGGGTTCATGATACGGAGAGCGGCTGTTGTCACTAACATTGCAAAAGTATGTGAGATTGAATCCGAGGTCATGCAGCATCTCCTGACGCTATCCCGTGGGTGTGAGTTACTTACTGCTCTGTCTCAATGTTGCTCGTGGGAGGTATTGTTGGTTTGGATGCTCGTGTAGTTGCCTTTGGGCTTTAGGGCGTGCAGACTGGATAGAAACAAAACTGGGTCAGTGCGAATGATGAATCCTCGAACTGGAAAAGTGAGCTTCTCTTCTGTCTGCTTTTTGGGAATAGAATCTATCGATAGATTGTGAAGTAGTGGAATGCGCTTTCAGGTCCAACCTCCATCTGCAATCGCGTAAACCAACAGGGACAGACATGTGGCCGCTGCGTGCTGTGGCCGCGACCCAAATCCAGAACTCCTAAACGTAAACTGGTACATTGATCTGATACTATTATGAAATACTGCACAGCTTGTGTGTTCTCGTACCGATAGTACTACCGTTCGGGTGTAGTACTACATGTAGGTACTGAGTAAGAAGTACTGTCGTGAGGAGTGAGGAGGATCACGGATGGCATCCTTTTGTGAAAATCGTATGATCCTTTTGTGTACTTTTTGAACATGTACATGTACATGTGGTACAGTACGTGTAGCTACGTAGCTACTGTACTATACTACAGACTGCTGCTTCCTGCGATTACTCCACCGGTTCAGCCATCAGTGAATTCAATCACTGCTGGAGAAGAGCTAATGCCAGACTAATACCACTAGACAAGTGTTATGTACTATTATTACAATAGACAAGCCCATGAACTGGAACCCCAACATTTTCATTTAGCGGACATGAGAAGTTGAAGAATGGAGTATCCTCAGTAAAACCACCATGATTTTGCTATGGAAAGAGAGGTGCAGCATTGAGGTTGAAAGCACAGAAAAAGAATATCGAAGTGATGAACAAAGAAAAGACAAGACTGCACCTGTATTTTGTTTGTTTCTATGAAATATTTGTTTCGCGTTTATAACAATACAATAGTTATCATAGTGTTCCTTAGCGCCAGCCTGCAACGTGTACATAGAGTAGGTCCAATAGTAAATTGTACTTGTACTATTAATAGTAAGGAAAAGCCTTCTTGGCGGCGACGATAATGGCCATGCAGAACCAGCTGCAAGTTCTTAGTTTTCTGACCACCAAGAGAAGTGTCACTAAAACTTTCTAAAACGCTTGGTCGTCCACCTTAATTGGACAGATCCCGCACATATTGATGTTGTTGAAGAAACTTTCATTGATTGGAGCTACTAGACTAGCTAGTATTGGAGTTGGAGAGAAAACATTTCAAGGAGAAAACTTGGCTCAGAGTGCAGAGAGTGAAAGATTCCTTTGCACATTTACGAGGTATTTCATTGGTATCCATCTTGATTAGCTCTTGATTCAATCCATCTCCATTTAGAACCGTGTCCAGTCGTCCACTCCTGAATGAAGCCTTTCTAGACATTTTGCTTTTCGATGCAACGTGAACTTCTTCTTCATCCTGAATCAATCCTGAATAACGAGACGTGGATGCAGCGAAATGAGTTACTGCCCCCGCTTCTGTTGTCTGTTGAGTTGTTGAGTTATACCATTGAAAGAACAGGCTGTTATTCCTCTGGCAGGCTGGTACTCTGCTTAATATTTGGATTTAATAGCTGCTTTCCCCGTCATTGACGCATACACGGTCGTTTATGTAATGTCGCTACTGGGTACTGCACATACACGACTCTATTAAAATAGTACAGTAGAAAAAGATTTTTCACCCGGTGGAGCCACAAAAAATGTACGATGTACCGGTGTACCGGTACTTTGTAGTTTAAACCGGTTGAGCTGTCGAATATTGATTTTGCAAATTTAGCACATTTGTCGCATTATTATTGTTTTTATGAACCAATGCTGTGGAACTGTGGATTGGCGCCAAAAAGCTCGCGACGCTTGGGCAGTAGCGCAGTAGCTTGTGGCTGCTATGTTGATTCATTGTTCGTTGCTTTCTTTAAGCAGCGCCTCATCAGCCTCAATCAAAGATAGATGATCAAGCAAAGGAGTCCGAAAAACCACAATGACGACATTAGCCAAGAGCTAACGGAGGTATCTATCGAAGAAGGCAAACCGACGAGTCCGCTACAAAGCTCCATTCAACAGCATCCATTTCCCTTGCAACTAAAGATATGCATCTACGCCTCAGTGTTCTTTGGGGCCATGATTGTTCATGAAGTTGCCTTGGAGGCAGCTGCCTACTCTTTTGGGCACCTGGATGCTCTAGCCAGCGCCGTCACCTTTGTTCAATTCTTGTTTTGTGTCATTTTCCCGCTATCAATCTCCAGAGGGAAAGGACTGCAAGATTTGCCCAAAACAGTCAAAAAGCTCATGCCCTACACAAGGTTAAGTCTCTTGGTCTTTTGTGCTGCAGGCATGGCATCGCGGTCAGTGCGCTATGTCACCTATCCCACCAAAGTTATATTCAAAGCATCCAGACTTATCCCAACCATGCTGGTAGCAGGAATGTGGCAAGGGGAACGATATACTCCATTGGAGTATCTGTCGGCCTTTCTCTTGTGCGCTGGGGCAGCTGGATATGCCTACGGTAGCGGAAGAGATGCCACGGGCGACAACTCCACTCCTCATGCAGAAAATTGGGGTATCTTCCTGCTGATCAATAGTGTTATCTGTGATGCCGTTGTTCCCAACTACCAAAAGATGCTATTGAATCAAGGGGTCTCGCCAACGCAACTCATGATCAATGTCAACACTGTGGGTACCATTGCAGCCCTGCTATATTTGTGCCTGACGGGTCAACTATTCCCCATTTTGGCAGCTTGCCAAGCCCATCCACAGTTACTGTTCGACTTGGTTTGTGTTGGTGTGGGGGTTTCCATTGCAGTTTGGGCTTACACAAATCTACTGGAAGCAACCTCATCGGTGGTGGCCGTGGGCGTGGCCACCGTTCGAAAATTCGCGACAGTGGCATTATCCTATTTTTTGTTTCCCAAACCGTTGCCGACAAACCACATTTTTGCTGCTGGACTGGTGTTTGGGGGACTGGCCCTGAGCACAGTGGCTGCGAAAGACCGAAACATTATTGGTCCACCAAAGGTGTTCCAGTTGAAACTTCCACAACCCACGAATTCATGATCCCCTGCATGGATTGTGTATACCGTATATCTGTGGCGGAAACCAGGCTGGTCGGTAGGTGCTCTGGCCAAGGTTCATGTTTCTACCGCTCTTGGTATCAATGGCCACAACAGAAGAACTTCATCTTCATGCCAGTAAACTGAGCGAACATGGCAGTTTTGATGACAACTTTTTGAGCCCCTGGGCCTACGAAAGACGAGGTTTTGCCTTGACTACTCCGGTACCAGTAGGATATGGAAAAATGGAGGCTTGCATGTGAATTTATGTGAATTGGGCGTGGGGTAATAAAGAAAGCGGACTCCAGCCTGCAAGGGGGCACACACGCAAGTATGGTCTGACAGTTTGAAGCAGCCATGGCATCAAAGAGGAAATATCCTCGAGTAAACATCATCGTCTGGTCCAAAACCCAGCACAAAATTTTGGAGTAAATTGCAAACAGTGTCCATTCTAAGCTTGCTACATTCCTACTGCACAACACACTCCGGTTGCTATGTTTTCCGATCCGAACCTCCAGCTATTATCTAGTATCGCTCCAACATTCTCTTGGCGACATTGCGCATATTGTTGTATACCTTTCCAGGTGGTGCTCCGAGAATGAGATCGCAAATGGCGTTTCGTGCGACTCTCAAATTGGCAAAGGATCCCAATAGATGTATTCGTTGATCTGCCACGACAATACGTGTACGGGTGGCATTTTCAATGGCAAATCGTGTCTTACCATCTTGTCCCGCGACACGTCCAATGGCCCGGGACAAGTGATCCCCTCGAAGCAATTTGACATCAGTGACCTGGAAGGATTCAACATATAGATCATCCAATCGCAAGAGTGCGACGGCATCTTGGACTTCAAATCCCAACATGAATGCGGAAACAAAATCGGCTCCCTTTTGGAGTGCTCCAGTGTCGATTGTGTGGGGAGATGTTTTCATTTCAACGCTGCGCGTCTTGGTATTGAAGCGGACCTAGAAAATACATCAACAAAATGATAGATGGAGAAAGTGGGTGAGAGATAATTGAATAGGAATGAATCAAACCAAGTCCAGCCATCCAACAGTTCAGCAGCAAACAAGCAAGCAACCAAATAAGATGTATAAATGAGCATCAGACAACGGCATTGAGCCGCCCCATAACTTCGTGGACTACGTGGCTTCCGTGGATTCAATGGGTTTGAGTTCCAGGAACAACACGGCAATCTCTGCTGGCTGTTGGGAAAGTTTCATCCTGTGCAATTTTAAAATGGTTGCTTGCTTGCTTGCTGCTGATTTTTGCTTCAGATAGCCAATATACATAGGTTTGGAAACGTACTTGTAGCTTGAGGTATTCCACCAAGGGCGTGAGAATGTTTTCCCAATGCTCCCGCAGAGGAGTGTACCGATGAGGAGGACATCTGACACGACGGTATTCCACTCGATTTCCACTGGCTTGAACGGCAGATAACTTGGGAAAGTGAGGTTGGTCACTACTAGTAGCAGTGTCGTCTTGCATTCGTTGTTCTTCCTTTTGCAAAGAAGTACTCTGACGAATGCGAGACGAAATCACAGAAGGGTCGATCGTTGTGGCATTAGTAGAAAACTCCACATTATCCCCATCTTCTGCTGTCATTTCCATATCTTCCATCATCTTGACTAATTTGTTGTTGTTGTGCTTCTATCTATTCTGTTGGAATGAACTGTCTTTCTGTTGTGGTTGTGGTGGAGGAACAAAATGAGCAGTGGAGTGGAAGTTGTTCCGAGAGAATTGTTGGTTGGTTTTGAGCAGCGTCTGTGAGGCGTCCGATTAAATTAGTCACGGGTGTATGTTTTCGACTCGTGACTGCTGTCAAGGAAGCCTTTTTCACTTCTTTGTGGAACTGCTACTGACGAGATTCTCAGATCTTGTATTTCGTCTCCTGGAGACGATTTGCTTTAGGGGTAATGGTACCGATGGGGGCAGAGGTTTGAATTATACCCGGCGCGCATTACTTAGAAGGCCCTGTAGAAGTCTACGTATTCGACTAGTATTGTATTGACGGGATACAGTCAACGCATGTACATGCACATGAAAGTCGCCTTGCGTTCTTCACATTTTAAAAGTTGGCTCCTAATTTTTCGGGGTCGCCTGTGATTTTATTGGACGCTTGATCTTTTTTCAATGACTGACATTGAATGACGTACGAGGTGCAATGCGAATCTCAGAAAGTTAGTTGTAGTAATAAAAGTTTTTATATACAGATTGATTTACCCTATATCCCTACCGTTTATACTTATAACAAGAACCCGTCTTCTCGCTGGAACATTTCATCGTATTGATCTTCTCCTAGGACAGAAAGCCCAATAGTATCCTTAAATCTTGTCGTTGTTGGCTGGCAAAGTTTTGGATCCCAATCCAGCTCTTCAATAAGAACAAACCACTCATGGTTCGCACCTTGATAACACCACGTAAACCCAGTTTTGACAGTATCCCATGAATGTACAAATAACCACACTGCAGATATCCCTGTAATTTGTGTCAGTTGTCGCAGAATTGCTGATAATCGGGACTGCTTACCCTTCATCTTGGTGTGTAAAACTTCCCGTCATAAAACCATCTGTACTGAAAGTGTAGTCTTGCTCGTTACATAAAAAGTACGTGGCATAATAGTTCCATTTCATGTTCACAAGGATAGATTTGACTTGACCTGAGAAAAAGCCCGAATCTTGCAGCCGTTGCGAGTTGAATAACCATGGGGTGCAACCATCCCTCACATTCACCTTTCTCACAAAAAGCCGAGATCCATTGGCTTCTCATTCGGAACATTCGTGTTCTCTGTAAACATTACAGGACACCCTTATATAACTTCAAAGCAAGATCAACACGTTTTCGTGAGTCCGAACCGGTTTTAACGAGTCTTCTCCACTGTTGAAAAGAAGTGCTTTAAAACTGAATTGCTCTTAACAGGACCAGTGTCCCTGCTTGATTGGCATTTGAAGATCGTCCATGAAATGAGTACTGCATCCAACAGCACGGAATCATCAGCAGGTTTGTTCTTCCCGCAAAATTCTTCGAAATAGCTGAGTTAATGGCATCTCGATCTCGATTCAGATAAGTAGCAACTTGAATGTTCTCTGGTGGAACATGGGTTGGGCCAACCAGCAGGCGTCATTGATGGTCAATATCTTCTTCTTTGGTCGCCCTTCACGGAAACTTAAACAGCGTTGCCCCATTCAGGATCGTCTTTGAAGCGGTGCATTCCATCTACTCAATAAATGAATTCAAGAGTCATGAAATTCAGGAGATGGTGCTGAAGATTGTAAATTGGGGGCGTCCCACTGGTCAAGTTGAGAGTAGTCCCCCGCGAACAACAAGTTAAGTCCCCAAATGGTTGGTATTCGTCTTGCATCAAGCTTGGTGTAGTGGAATATCTTCACATAAGTCAAGTTCCCCGCGATGAAATTCGTCGATGATAAGCATCCGCGTCCTCTCTCTTCTATCCAAGTTCTTTGCCACACTTTCCCGAGTTCTGTTCAATCCCACAGCTGAATGCGTGTTTCCCCATGTAGTATGTAGCAGCAACCCCCGACATAGCAGTGACAACAATGGTTCGGTCGTTAAATGATGACAATCAAACTGCAGAATTCTTTGCCATAGGCCATGACTAATCAATTACGGTAGTCTTCCACTTCCTCCAGGCCCATGTAAAAGAAGAAATCAGTTGGGTGCCACGATTCCTTCAAAATCAAAGGTTTTTACGAGGAAGTCGGACTTGCCTCCCCATATCGGCCCATCCTCTAGTCCACCTTTCAGCTTCCTCATAAAATGTCAACAAGAAGGCTGCAATGATACACTCGAAAGCCCTTCTCTGTTTGTCGTCCAGATTGGCAGCCGTGCCCAGTCACTTATACTTCTCACGCTTCCATTCGCCTGGACACTTCAACCTGCGGATTGTACTTAAATACATTTGCCCTTGGATGCACTCCCGTTTGTTAAGTAGAACTTCAATGATCTTGTGATATCGAAGGTGTAGGCGGTTCACTCTGCTTCTCTTTGTAGTGCCAGTCGGTGAAAGTCAGCACTTATAGTAACAAATCGTCTTCATAACGAATTCTCAGGAATGTGTAACTGCACGTTGTATCCTGCGTTGTCGCTTCCATTGTGACGATAGCCGTAAAAATAAGACCATCAAATGTGCTTGCCAGAAAGTCCCGGTTTGAAACTGTTGTGCCCTGGCTCTAAGATCACGTATCCAATCTTCGTAAACCTTTTGAATCAGATCATCTTCCTCATGTTCGTGCTCATCATCAGATTCGTTTTCGTACATGTTCTCCTCCCAATGTTCCGGTCTATAGGGCTTGGTAACTCGTTGAAGATCATCCTCTTTCACCTATACCTCGGGTTGTTGAAAGCGGTGTCTTGAATGTTCTGGATGAATGACAGGTTCCTTTCTGAGAAGACGACGGGTTCTTCGTTATTCGCTTTCTCAGAACATCGTATTCATACAATTCACGAAGTCTTTCAGCGAAAACATAGTTGGTCTGGGGTACAGACTTCTTTAAATCAGCCAACATCGATGGGCAAGTACAAAGCCAAATAGCACTTCCGCATAAGTATCCATTGCTGGTTCAGTTCGCAAGTAGGACACGTCAGGATATTCGCACCAAAACGCCTGCATCTGAAGAAGGCCCTATTGTGGAAACCCGAACAATTGCTTCTCTTTCCTCAAAATTACTCCGCTGAAGTTTCACAGTTAAAACCCCTGTCGTCTCCTTTGATACGCTGATGGATGCACGAAATGCCCAGGTCAGCCATAAAAGGCCATTTCTCCTCATAAGTTCGCTGAGCGCTTCCGCCTGTGGACATCTTCATTGGTCGTTCCTCGTAAAGCTCATAAAACCGCTTCACTGACACATTCTCTAGATCTTTGTTTCGACACAGATAGGGAGCGCCTGGTTCTCAAATAGGCCTGACCTGTTGGTGAAATATCGTAGTTCTGATGACACTTCTTGTTTGTTTACAGCAACATTACATCTTTATATATATATAGAGCAATCTTCTCTCTTTTTTG